CTGGGACACCCGAGTGAGCAACGCTGTTATTAGGAATCGAGTACTAGGCAAGGATGGCAGATCAATAGACGAAGTAATGAAACTTCATCAGTTGAGGAGGATGGGACATGTGTTGTGTATGCTCAACCACCGACTGCCTCGACGAGCTTTATTTTGTAGTGTAGGAATACGTTGGAAGAAAGCTAGGGGTGGCCAAACCAAAACATGGCACAAATCCATGAAGTCACTGACAAGTGGATTGAGTCATGTCGGTAATTGTCGACTAACTGGTTGGGGTCAGCGAGATGATAATAATCGATGATTAGAGACCTTGAATGACATGGCTCAAAATCGTTCACAATGGCGCCGGTGCATTTATTCCTTGTGTTCTCTCAAATCCTAATCTTCTGGATTCTTCAACCCTACGGTTTGGTCTTTCTAAACTTATCTCACTGAATCATACTTCTTGAATAATATCTTCTAATCCTAACCTCTCCGATTACGTCTAATACTTTTACTACCTCTTCTACAATGGGATTCGAATTGACGATTACATCTCTGTGCTGATGTGCTATGGCAACATAAACTGATGTACTTATGTACGAAGTTCTACGTTTCATCTTACTGACTGACTGACTGATATAGATAGGAAGATATTGTTCATTCCAGGAAAAAGAGCACCGATGTTTGTAATTCGTTGACATCCACAGAGAGATTTCATGCAGTTCAAGTGTATACATAAAGATTGACAAATGAATGCTTGCTTCTACATTATCGAAAATGATTTACGGATAAGCTGCCTGACTAGGAAGCCTTCACGTCTTTACTCTTACTAATGAAAGAGCTTGTGGATTGCATTCACATTTTGAATTACGGCATTCACATCAAAAAGCCATTAACAACCTTGAGTTCAACTACCTGTTGTGTTGAAGAAGAAACGAATTATGTAAACATTTTTACAGTCAACTAAAGCTAAAAGACACAAAATAACCATCCAAGATTAATAAGTTTATGAATAGTGTTCTATGCTCTTTTTTGTCCATAAATCTTCCATAAAAGTCAAAAAAATATGAGCTTATTATCTAGAACTTTTATGGACCTCATCAATGGATAACCTCAATAACCTTTCCACTACTTTATAATCACTCAGCTTTAATTTATACAAAAAATCTAATTTGAAACGTTCAAATCAAAAATTTTATGATAACTTCTTTGACAAAAACAACAAATATATATATACGCAACAATACAGATTAAAGCAAAACGATTGGAATTTATATCAAAGCCCTGACTTAATTTTGATAATACTCGATATCGATGTTTGAAGCTAATTATGAACGAAGATGATGACTTCCTTACACATGTGGGCATCGTCAACCGTGAATGCGAACGCTTTCGGTTGAAGTCTTTGTCGGAAGATGAGTTCAAAGCCCTTATACTTATCTGCAGCCTCCAGTCGAGTAAGTTCAGTGATATTAGAACAAGGCTACTATGTCGGTCGGAGCAAGATCCGAAGCTTACGCTTGATGACATGGCTCATGAGTACCAACGTCTCACTAACCTACAACGAGACTCAACTATAGTTCAGAGTGGTAGTTCAAGCCGCTCTGAAGTTCATTTGGTACAGCAGCCAATCACAGCCATGGATTCTCCTGGTGGGAATTGAAATCTCAAGGTCAACTGATCAGCCCATGCTGGCTAACGTGAAAACCAAAATAAGGCATTTATCAAGCGAATTTTGGGGATCTAAAATCCCTAACACACAAGGTTATTAATTTATTTTGGGATTGATTCCTTTACGAAATGATCTTGAATAAAAAACCCTACTAATTTAACAAAATACACTAAAGTAAATTGTCGTAATGCATGGACCATTTTTAGAAAATGATTGCAAATACACACACTAACTGATTACAGTTGAGATGTATGATTGAAATGAATATAGTGTAATGTAAAATTTTACAATTCATTTTGAAATGTACAATATAAATCATTCAGATATACCTTTAAATTTGTATGCATTTTTGAAACCATGAATCAATCATTGTTAGACCACTATTAGAAACCTGGAAGCACTGGACGGCCGTTTCGTCCTGGTATGGGAATCATCAGAGGCAGTGCGCATCCACGACTCCTGCACCCCGCAGGATTCGAACCCAGGACCTTCGGTATTGTGCGCGAAAGCCCTAACCGTTAGATTAATGAGCCGGTATCTAACGGTGTTAATGTCTAACTATTATGCATCTTAAAAATTTCATCAAATTCTATCGAAAAATTTTACATTTTAAATGTAACATTACTGGAAAAATCTTCAAAATCAAAAGAGACTACTTATTATTAAAAATACAGCATTACGTTTCAACATATAATGTTAAATATTCTTTAGCATTTTGTAGTTTTTCAATAAGTCTAAATTTCAATTCAAAAAAATAATTCTATTCATATAGCTTTTAGTTCAATCTATACTACATGTTTTGATTTCAGTCAGTCAGTCAGATGCAACGTAGAATTTCCTTCGTACGTAAGTACATCAGTTCATGTCGCCATGCCACATCAGTACAGAGATGTAATTGTCAATTCAAATCCAACATTAGAAGAGGTAGTAAAGGTATTAGAAGTAATTGGAGAGATTAGGATTAGAAAATATTATTCAATAAGTATGATTCAGTGAGAAAAGTTTAGAGAGTCGAAACTAGAGGGGTTGAAGAATCCAGAAGATTAAGATTTGAGAGAACACAGAGAATAAATGCACTGGCGCCATTGTGAACGATTTTGAGCCATGTCATTCAAGGTCCCTAACCATCGATTATTATCATCTCGCGGACCCCAACCAGGTAGTCGACAATTACCGACATGGCTCAGTCCACTAGTCGATGACTTCATGGATTTCTGCCATGTTTTGGTTTGACCGCCCCTAACTTTCTTTCTTCCAACCTACTACTTCACCATAGAACAAAGCTGTTCGAGGCAATCGGTGGTTAGGCATACGCAACACGTGTCCCAACCACCTCAACTGATGAAGTTTTGATTTAACATGTTAAAATTAGTTAGTTAGTTAGTTAGTTAGTTAGTTAGTTACTTGAATGTACAAAATGCTCAAAAAGGTAATATTCTTAAGTTTTTTTTCATAGATTCATAGATTTAAGTTACTATGATAATATTATGAAGAACCTATAAGAAGGATAATAATAGTTCCATTTCAGTCTGATAGTAATTCAATTTTTTTACACATAACTTCATTTGTTTATTATTATTATTCTTGTTATGAAATATTTTTACATTGAACATTTTACTTTGTTTGTTTGACAGAAATTATTTGTTGATCATAAATAAAACATTAAAAGATAAAAAAACCTTTCTGCTACTTTCTTTAGATAATCACTATTTAACTGTTAGGATAAACTAAATAAAGTTATAAATTCCTAAATCATGGTAATAAATGACACTCTATATTATTTATCCTTTGTATATATAAATATATATTTGATAAGAGTTTAAAGGTATTTGAATAAAAGTTTTTTTATGAGGGTTATGAAGACATATCTTACAAAAAACACACATTTGTAACGTTTTTTTATTGATATGGGGTATTGTGAAAGCCTTTAAACTGTAAAATCAAAAAATAGCAGAAATGGATGATGGCAAACAGTGGAATTTAGGAAGCACATTTCATTCGAAGTACCAAAGTGACAGATCGATTAAGATCCAAAATATGAGTTGGGAAATTCAAAAAACCAGTGCAAATAGATTGATAAATTTCTGGATATTAACTTATTTTTGAACTAATCATCCTTATAGATTATTGTTAAAAGCTAGAACATAATATATGTGAATTTCAGTAGAGTGAACATAGCAGATAGGTTTAAACTGTTGTCATTGATAATCACATTGAGTTACAGAGTTAAGTCTGTACAAACAGTAAAGTGAGACAGTATTATATGAACGTAGTATTTTGATCAAAGTTCCTTAAATAGTAAAAATATAAACATTCTGTTGGAGTAAACTAGTTGAAATAAATCTTGTTTGATAAGGAGTATACAGATGATTTAAGTTTTCCTAAATGTTATATCAAGGTAATATGACGGTTAGACTGCGCTAATAACTACCCAAAATGAAATGTTCAGTGACATGTTAGCTGACGTAGGTGTACAGTTAAAGGCTGTAAGATTGAAAAAATTACCATATTAAGGAAAACGCTTAAAAAGAAGGCTTTTTTGAACGGTTAACCGATTTTGCGGGGGCTGACAGCGTTTTAAGAAAAACTCGAACGAACAACTTATATCACATTGAAACCTACAAAAAGAGCACTACTTTTGAATTCACCTACTGTGTAAGCAAAATGAATAAAGCTATGAAACCGCCTAAATAACAAGATTTTTATGGACGCCTCAAATATATCTGGACATACAGCCAAGGTTTTGAACAACCATTCCTTACCATAATATTAATAACAGTAAAGCACTTTGACACGCGTTTACAGAAGGGTTGTAAATCTACAAGCGTAGAAATATAACTGAATTGTGGAGATATGAGAAGTGAAATTACTGCCTCACTCTTTTTGAATACCTTACTACCCCGTGTTTCTCCATCAAGTTTAATACAATCGTTAAGCCTACAGAAAATAGTCCCGAGCTAAAAGTAAGAGACCTTTAGTTAGACTCAGAAGTTTCATTTCTTCAGTGCACACTTGTCAGGTTGAAATTCTTAATAAAAGGTAGCAGTATTTTTTAATTCTGCGTATAAAGGTTGCCTGAGCAAGGTCTTTTATCAGAGGCTATATCAAACCATGAATGAATGAACCTAAAAGAATTTGATCCTTCGCCATCTATGGGATAAAGAGTGAAATTACTAACGGTTTACCAATGACGTGTTTTGAAAATACATGATCTTTACAGAAATACTGAATGGAAGAATTTATTCGAATTATTTTAATCAATATCAGCATCCCTGAAAATTTAACCTCTCGAATACAGTTACTTACAAAAAACCTATAAAACCATTTTATAACAAAATAAACTCACGTATGAATCAGCGCTTATGCCGGAAGAATTATCGAATCCAGTAATTGTTATTGGAGTGCTGAGTTCATCGCGATTTCCTTGTGAATCAGTCATGGAATGAGGGTATGTAAGAAATTCAATATTTGGCGTCACACAATCAGTTTGAGGTAGTGCTCCAAAATCTGAAGGATAGTCCTTTAACGTCATACTGTAATGAGGTTGAAACGAACTAAAGTAGTTCGGCTGTGAATTTCTTCCGAAAGGACTTAAACTTTCAACGTTTATACATAGTACTCCACCGGATCCGTCGACTTCAAATGGTTTGTTATCAATAGTGCACTTAGAAGCAGGTAATAAACCACTGCTCTCATCCCACCGACATTTCTTTGGAGAGGCGTCCAGTTCTATCATTCGCTGTTGAAGCAAGAATTTCCTGAGTAAGCGTAGATCATTACAAACTGCTTTCAAGCAAAATCCAAAATAAGGCACATTGGTGGATGCATCAAGTAAATATATCTTACATTCTGCAAAAGTGTTTATAATACTAACAACAGTTCGTCACTGAATTTGTTTTTTTCAGTGAACATTTATGATTTTTACCAAATCGCAACTAGAAGTTTTATTGCTGTTGCAAAAGAATATAGCAGCTCACAACAGATAATGGAATCTAATTGTGGCTTTTAAAAGCTAGTCACATTTGAAGGTCAACTTGCGGTATGTGAATATTGGGAACAAAACAAATTCCCTGATTCTTATATAGGACTTTCAAAATGGATTTATTCTTGAACAGCATGAAGGGAAGAAAAAAATTGAAAAACCATGTTTCTGATCTTAAGATTAGTCCTCAAGCAAATAGGCGTCTAAATTCCTCAAATCCAGTATCCAATATCTTTTTCACGAGCTAGTATAAAGCACTTGATTTCTTTGCACTCGATTCTTGTTCTTTCGGTATGGTTCCAGGTGTTTGTCAGTGTCCAATGAGTGGGGGGTCTAGCCAATCCACTGTCTAATTCTAATCAGTTGGCAGTTGGTTGTGCGTTTAGATGTCCCGTGATTTCAATGAAAACATTTGTTTCAGGGCTGTAGGGTTTCTGGATACCAGCAGTTATCACATTACCAGACCGGATATCAGTTAATTGCAATGTGGATAATAATAAGGATAAAATTCTAATGCTAATATCAATAAGATTTCAGAACTAAGTGATATATATATGTATAATTTAGTTTACTAATTTGTAGTGAAGGTTGAGAGAGAAGACCGAAGTGCTAGCAAAGGAGAGGAAACAGAGATAATGGGCGATACAGATTAAGTTGGTTATCTGAGAATATGGCAACGATAACAACTAGCTGGTCCCAAGAAATGCATCAGGCACAGATCGTGCACGAGGGAGATGATAATCCGTATGTATGTTTATCAAGTCTCTTCCTAAAGCTGTCCACCGGGGGGGGGCTGAGGTCACCTCGGCTAGAATCCGAGTTTTTTCGAAGAAGTAGCACTAGAGTGTGCTAGAAATAAGAGCTGTTAAAGTGAACAAGGGTTTTACAACCGTTTCATTTTGTCCTTAGTTCCTACTACTGGTTTGAGAAGTCACTTCATGCACTATTATTATTGCCAACTAATTCAGTTAAGCTCACTCTAAAGAGATCAGGTTTCATGGATTGTTTTTCACTTAAAGTCAACTTAATATCTGTATATATGTAACAGAACATTTCTAATTGTGATGAATATAAGCATCGTTAATAATCTTGTGCATAACTTCATTTCAGATGGAACAGGAAGTGGCTCCTTTACATGACTAGACTGTTCGTAAACTGTAGACATGCCATGATTCAACAACCTAAATTGCAAGAACTTACTTGGAATTCACATCACCGTATTCTCTGGGGATAGAGTAATATATTCAAAGTAAAAAGTTAGTGGTTAAATACAGTGACAAAGCCTGTATGAACTGATCTTTCCGTGTAGATCATAAGTTCCCTCATTAATTATTCTGATCTGCTCCAAGTGCTAAATGTTCGGTGTAAGTCTTTCTAGCTGTTGTCCGGTCAGCTTCGGGGGCCGTATATTTGTGAATTAATATCGTTACAGACAATCTACAGCTGTTTAAGAAAAGGATTTTTTTCAGGCTAGGTGAAACTGAAAGGTTTGGGTGGTATAAATATCTGAAATATCACACAACCGACTTAGGACATATTGAGATGCAAAGGAAATCGAGTTATTACCATAAGCACGAATATGCTACCGCTAATTTCCAAACTTACTTCAACAACACTTAGAGGATCAAGTTTATTGGTCAATCGCCTACTCGAAATAAAAGCCATTCCAGTAAGTTCGATGTATGAACATAAAATGTCAGTGGCGTATAATTCTCCGTTTTGTTATTCTACTGACTGCTGTAAAGTAACCACGATGCACGTATATAGGACATCGAATCTTGGAAAATTAATATTTAACTGAAATGGATGTCTGAGTGTTAGAAGACGCTTCAGCTAAATCGAATGAATAGTTAAATGCCACCACACTTCGTATCTTCTGTCAGTGAACTTGGAGCATTCTAACTTTCACAGCTTCTTCTTCCGTGACTAAGCACTCAGCAGACGTGACTTCACTGATTGTTCAGTAATCAGTCAATCTCTTGCAACTATGATTCACGCTTTGGTGACTTTTTGTCGCACAGTTGTGATCTGAGGAAAGGTATGGATGAAAGGCATAGAAAAACGATTCCTCAGGTAAATCGAAGAAAGGCAGCTCTTGCAAACGACGCACTGATAATAGTGCCAGTCAATCGATGGCTGTTTGTAGCTCGATATATACATCCAATCAGTAGTTCACATGTATGGACTTTTACAGTAAGTTATTTCGACTCACGCACTTCGGTAATGTCTATATCCATATAAATTTTTGTCCTGATGTTTCTAGACGCATGGATGAGACGGTTCCCGCCCTTTTTAGAGCCTCGGTTGCGTCGGCATCTGAACTAGTGATAGGGAGTGGAGCAGTAGAGCGTGTTGTAAGGTGTAAGGTGTTGTGAGTTTATTGTATCTGCCATGATTATAGCTGTTATTAGTGCACAGATCGGGCTGGTCTGTATGTGATCCTCTGGTGATGCGGCATTGAATTGTCGCTCTGTCAAGGATAAATGTAATCTTCTTAGACTTCAGAATGTGCTCGTGTAATGACTAGCTAGGAGGCAATCCGCTCCCATGACATTACTGAACTGAAAAAGAAGGGGACAGGAGAGTCGTGTCTGAACTTTACGTAATCTTCCTACTGCACAGCTAGGGTGGAACAGTCCACTCTTTTAATAGAATTTAGGCTTCAGCTGTGAGGTTTGTTATACATAGTAGCTGTTTGCATACAGCGAAGTCTGCTTATCACCTTTGAGGATATATGGTCAATTAATATCTCAGTTTCTCATTCATAATTTTGAGATCAGGAGTTTTTGGAGCTCTGATCATGAATTTGTATGATAGAGAATTTTGGAAGGTTTGGTTAGGTTTGAGTTCACCTTGACTATTCCTGGGAATATCATTAATGAAGTTAGTCGAGTTAACTTCAAAGCTATTGAGGTTGATAGGGTTGCTTATAGGTTTGTTGCAAGTGGTTATTGAGTGCACAGTCTGTTCACTAAGCTAGGGTAATGAAACTATATTTTTGGGTGAATAGTCGAGTCTACACCATTGAATTGTTTATTGTGGACAGACTTACTTTCAATCTGTAAGCCCTTGATAAATGTACCAGTTTGTAAGCTTGCTTTCAAATTGGTGCTCGCAACAACTGCCTGTGTCCGATGAATTCCAGAATACAGCTGCTGTTATTGAGTTACTCAATTTCAGGTAGGATATATCTTCTTGTATGACAAGATATAAGGTAATGAAGGGTCTTGTCTAGATGCCAGGTACGAGCCTAGTGTGTCTGTAGAAAAGTCAGATTACGATATGGATTGATCAGAATTCTTTCATAGTTTTATTTTACCTGTTGTATTGACGAACTTAGATCTTTTATAGTTGTTAAGGGTATTAGGCGAAGTTTGTGTGTTTTTTAAGATATCTATGATATGATAGACGAGAAATGTCTAGTGGTAGGAGTGAATACAATGTTCGTAAGGCATTGAGGTTATGAAGGCAAAAGTTATGATGAAAACGTCTAATTACGTTCATTATAACTAAAGAAAACGGTGAAGAAATGCGAAGATTTCGCTTATATATACCTTAGACTTCTAGTAAAAGGACTGAAGACTGATAAAATGATCAATCATGGGAAAAAGTCATAACCTTCAAAGTTTGCGCTTGAGGTGTTGTGAAATTCATACTGTAGTGCTTGCGCCCACTCAAATCCATCCATATGACTGGACGCATCAACCAACATCTGTGACGTGCTAATTTAGCTGAAAGCATAATTTTAGAACACTAAGCGTTGAAAGCTTCTTCGGTAGAATGCCATGGGAAATTGTGCAGTAAAAATTTTCCTCAGGCTTAAGAACGGACAGCACCGAAACGATCGTACTACTCAAGGGAATATGCAGCCATAACTAAATACTCTAAATGTGCGATACACTACTTTAGTGGAAACTGGCATTTATGACCTGTGTGATAATAGCCAGTAGCAGAAGTATGATTAAAATCATGTGAGCTGAGGCAGTGGCATAAGGGCATCTAGCGGAAAAAATGACTGATGCAAATAAGTAATAAATGTTTCTCTTGCGTCGATTCTTACCTGAAACTACCGTACCCAATATACAGACAGCTTTCCTGTTCATTTATCAAGATTTTTAACGTTAATAAAGTTAGTACTTCATATATATAGGCTGACTTGTAATTAAGTACTGATATCGTCAGTCAAAGAAAATAAAACACAACACGTAGTCCTAGTGTCTGCTACTTTTTGAAATGTATTAACAATAACGTGAATAATCAGACAACTTAAGAACTCTGTCTTACCACTTCCTCAACCACCTTCTATTCAGTTTAAAATCTTTGAACATTGCATTGGAATGCACTATTTTTAGCAATGAAGCACAATGTAAGTAAGAAAATAGTATTATTGCCCCGTAGGATACTTTTATTCATAATGTCCGTTTACGAAGCAGTTAGTGCATACGAAAATGTCGAAGTGAAATATTTAGATGTGCTCACTTTTTGAACAGTGTGTATACAAATATATGCTTTTAATCAAACCAGATGGATATCATAAGGAAGTCTGGATTTAAAAAAAATCAAAGAATCAGATTTCTTGCTTGCATGTTCAGTATTCGTCCATAATTATCAGCTACCCTGCCGACCGTAATCTTGTCCACCACACGCTTATCTTACGAGCTGGAATTCAATAAAGGTTTGTTTAGTAACAGCCAAATAAACTCACTTATCTCAACCGAAAATTACGGGTACTGGAAGCTCGGTCAGCAAGTGTGGACAATTTTACGCCAACGTAAATAAAGTTCATAGACATGCATTTAAATCTGTTTACTTATATCCTATTACATTTTGAAATGTAATACGATCTTTACAGAAGCCAATATAAAGGCAGCTTAACAATGGACAGTTGCTCAAAAAAATTCTCACCGTTTACACTAAAACAGAAAATAAACACGACTGAAATGATTCTCAATAACTGTTAGGGTTTTCAGTCGCGAACAGTCTATATAATTATGCGGAAGAAATTACTAGAAATTACTTAGAAATTACTTTACATTTCTAACTTACCATCATTAATCTCATGATTTCATTAATAAACAACAATCTCCCTAACTCTGATAAAAACTAATACGGAATGTCGGCCTCATGCTCTGGCACTCAGGGTCGTGGAAAAAAGTTACCGGCGTATTTGAACCTAACTTGTCATATGTACGGTGCACGTGAGTACCATGATTCCTCGTGTTTTATCATTAGTTGTCCTCTCCTTGCTGTAAGCTGACATTTAAAAAAGAAAATGAAAGAGCTTATAGACATAGGATAATTGTGAACTTATGAAACGTCCTTGGTTGCATTGTTGGACGTAGAACTGGTGGAATTTGTTACAAACATAACTTGTCATAGTCTGTCCAATTTGTAACAAAAAGCTACATAAACAGTACGAAACGTTTAGGGCAAAGGACTTTGTACTTGTAACAGTAAAAACTTTAAATGACTTATGAGTGTTAATCATGTGGTAGCATCCACTCGCCATACTGTTAAAATGCCTAGAGTAAAATGGTACATGAGAGAGATAACATTGATAATCCGTTTTTGTCCCGGATCTGCCTAGAAGCATTAAAAGCGTTTTACGAATATGTACCAGCATTTAAGTTCATCAGAAGTGGGTCTTATTACTATTTGGAACCGAAGAAAACAATCTGCTATGACGTTAACCCTTGGTTGGTTACTTTTAGTTTTGATTCCACATTTCTGAAATAAAAAACATAAGCGATCTTGAGTTATTTAGAATTTAGTTCGAAAAACACAGCTGTCGAACTAGTTGCTATTGTCTGTGTAATCATTGCTTAGCTGGTACGCTGTGGCAAAGCAAGCAGCTCAACGTTGCATGGACAAGATTTCTTTCTGTGGTAGCGTATGAACTATCATTTCGGCAACCAACATGAACACTCACTTCTGGTATGATCGTAAAAAGAATAATAGCGCTCAAAAAGACTAGGATTTTATCATTCCAGCTGGACGTAATTGTAATGAATGGAAAACCTGGTCTAGTCACTGACTTACAGGTAGACAGATTAGTGAAGTTTAAAGCCTTTACTAACCCATTAAATTACTCCACGAATCCAAGCTCTCCTAGTGACAAGCATATTTATGTGCTAAGCGTTTAGCTATGAGCATATATTGGTTTCCATTCATTCATAAATAAATGAAGCTCTACAATAAATATATTCATTTGGTCAGTCTTTAACTCCAAACTGGTTAATTATCGTAAACTGGCCTTTCTTACACACACTATCCCTTACCTAGAGTACGTTTGCTGATAAAACTAAAGTACAATAATATTCGGCCTTTATGCAAACTTTTTTCAATCTGTGGAACATTTCTTATTAACTACTGTTTAGTTAATCTGACTATTAGTATCAGAAAACTAAAATACATATCAAGTTAGATTCATCATTTTAATATCTTTTGGTAACGTATGGTAGTAAAAGTTGTAAGTAACCACTTGCTGCTTTGTTTACACAATCTTAACCGGTACTTTATAAGGGTTAGCAATATTTTCACTCTGTTGAAGATGTGACATGAAGTTTAACGGTCAGATATCTTACTTTTCTATTACTAATACTCGGCCACCACATAACTTCCAATGTAAATAACTAGTTTTTTTTATTTTCTCAAGATACAGTCATCACTAGAGCTCTGTAAACATTTTGATCCATAATCCCCGCATTTCTTTTCCAGATATGAGTCCCTAGCTTCTTTATTATTCAAAAAATACCTGTCTAATGATTCTAAGGGACTAATAAATTTCTTAAACTTCTAAAAATATATGGTCAGTTTTTTGGACAGAACCCAGTGGCAGCATTTAGTAGCTGGTGTTAGTGGTGGAGTTATATCTGTATTGGTTTTGCATCCGTTGGATTTGGCCAAAATCAGATTGCAGGTGAATGAAGGTACAGGTGTCATCGCATGCAGGTTAGAATTAGTTTTTTTTTATCGTTGCATTTTACATAATTTCTTAGTAATTGCAATATGATCAACTGATTTGTTGTACTAGTTTCCGTTAACACTAATATTAGATTGTGTTAAACGTTAGGAAACGAGTACTAGGTAAGGATGGCAGATCAATCGATGAAGTGGTGAAACTTCATCAGTTGAAGTGGCTGAGACATGTGCTGCGAATGCCTAACACCGACTGCCTCGTCGAGCTTTGTTTTGTAGTGTAGGAGTAGGTTGGAAGAAAGTTAAGGGCGGCCAAACCAAAACATGGCAGAAATCCATGAATTCATTGACTAGTGGACTGAGCCATGTTGGTAATTGTCGACTACCTGGTTGGGGTCCGCGAAATGATAATAATCGATGGTTAGAGACCTTGAATGACATGGTTCAAAATCGTTCGTAATGGCGCCGGTGCATTTATTCTCTGTGTTCTCTCAAATGCTAATCTTCTGGATTCTTCAACCCCTCTAGTTTCGACTCTAAACTTTTCTCACTGAATCATACTTCTTGAATAATATCTTCTAATCCTAACCTCTTCGATTACTTCTAATTCCCTTACTACCTCTTCTACTATTGGATTTGAATTGACGATTACTTCTCTGTGCTGATGTGGTATGGCAACATGAACTGATGTACTTATGTACAAAGTTCTACGTTTCATCTGACTGACTGACTGACTGACTAAACGTTTGTAGCTCTTAATTAGCGGTTTTGATATTAAGTTTTGTGTGATTCACGGAAATGTCAACTTAATTAATCACTCTCTGGCAGTATCGCACGAGACTGTAACATACATTTACTAAGATTAAATAAATTCCATATCTTAATCGTATATAAAGTCCGCTCTTGGCAGTCATTTAATTGATACATCTGGAAAACAAAGTCGTATTACTCCTCACCTACAAAGGGAATTTAGGAGTATTCAAAATATTTTCGACACTCACAAAGGGAATAGTTATATTAGTTTCCAGATAAGCTCGACACCTTTCAGGTTTCCGACAATTTGAATACCACAGATATTATGTTGCGTAACCACATATGCCAAAGACATTGATGGACCATCAGATGACGTTTACATACGACCCGTTATGTATTCACCCACCGTTAATGCAAAATCTGACACTATCAACTATCTAACAGGTTAGGTACTCCGTTGTTTTCTTAGCCAGTTGATCTGATATTCGAATCTTTCACCATCTGACATTTGACAATAAGCATTTCTCACATTCTACGACCATAAAATACGACTACTCAATGCGAACTTCAACATTTCAACAGTCATGCAATGCATATTTCCAAGTAGTTTTTCAACTGGTACATATTTTAATCATAGCATTGTAAACTACTGGAAACATTTATTCTGACAATCAATTTCAAGCTGGAGACAATATTTTTCTTCTCCGTAACGCACTTCTTTGAAAAGTCTACAAACAGCTGGTATTTTTATCACGATATAATATTTAAGTTTCTATTTTTGCTACGCCAGTAACTGATTTCATTTAAATCTTATTTTTAGTCGTAAAGTATTCGTTGCTTTGGTAGAGTTTCGTTCTCTGAGTTGGATGTTTTCGTTGTGGAGCTTTCATTGTTGTTCTGAACAACATCAGCACAAACTTCAGATAGTCAATTCGAATACTTCACTTCTATCTAAAGTCTGTGCTGATGCTAATGTTGTTAAGAAGAATAATGAAAGCTCTACATTGAAAATATTCAGCTCATAGAACGAAACTCCACCACAATCATCCGACTGAGCTACAAATTTTCTCCACCATCTCAGTATTCGTTATTGTTAGTCATTTAGTGAGCAGAAAATCTTACCCTCTAATTAACTATTCCATAGGTTTGAAGCACATGAATTCCCTGGTTCAACTTGGAAATTTCAATATTCTTATGATTATCTAACCGTTTACAATTCCATAAAAATTGTCACCAATACTTACTGTTTATTTATTATATAGACCGAAAACAACAGGAACCATTCAAACCTTGTATGAAATTGTTCAGCATAGAGGTCTTCGTGGTCTGTACCTTGGTTTAACTCCGAATGCTATTGGAGCGGGTAGTTCATGGGGTTTGTATTTTTTCTTGTAAGTAAATAGTTTTCTGTGGTGTAATTCTATGTTTACTTTTTACTAGTCTGACTATTGGTTAAATCATCGGCATCAAGTTGAAATTCACCGCTGAAATTCTACACCACCAATACACATATGTAGTGAACGAGAACACAGGTGGGGCAACCGAATTGTATTTAGCGAAAATTACAGAGTTACTCAGTAAAATTGGAAAACCATATCGTAAATCGTTCATTTGCAAAATATCAGTTCATCATATCGAACTGGACTGTTCCTGTTGCAAAACATCAATCCATTGTCACTACTATTCATGCGTTTCATACAAATTGTGTTCCATTGTTTTCTAACTCTTCCTTTCTTGATCTCTCCCCATCTTCTGCTGCCAGACATTACGTTGACACTCACGTCATATACTACTTATAAGTAGCTCACACCACACATACTCTTAGTAAAATCAGTTATCCTTGGTATGTGTTAAAAATTACCTGAAACCCTGTAAAGCAGAGTTGTATAAGAACGCTTATAACACATCGATAGTGTAGTTAAAATGAATTTTGACAATTCATTGCATAACTCTTAGTTTTCTTATAATTTATCTATTGCCCCATTAAAAGGTTTTTACCTTGTCTCATCATCAACTACATATTTATAATGTTCTAGTTAATTTTAGTCTTTACTGTGAAACATACTTTCCTTTCTCATGTAATAACAGCTATGAAAGTTTGAAAAGATTTTCTCAACATGGCGATAAAACCAAATCTCTGACCACTACTCAATATCTTACTTATGCTGCCTTATCAGGTAAGTTCTATAATGATAACATAATTATTTTGTGTTGTTTTATTCATGAAAGCTCGTGAAGAGCAGACTAGAGAAAACCAGGCTGGTTTTCGACCTGGACGTGGTTGTATAGACCAGATCTTCACACTACGACAGGTCCTGGAACACAGACACACATTTGGGCGTCCTACAATAGTTGTTTTCCTGGACCTTAAGGCGGCATTTGACTCAGTGGACCGTGAATTTCTGTGTCAGTGTCTGTCATTGAAAGGTGTACCAGAGAAGTACATTAACCTTATACTAGCTCTCTACTCGAACACCACTGGTCGAGTGAGGGTTTATGGCGAACTGTCACCGGAATTCTTCACTTCAAAATCGTTTGCAATGGCGCCAGTGCATTTATTGTTTGTATTCTCTCAATTCCTAATCTTCTGGATTCTTCAACCCCTGTAGTTTTGACTTTGTAAACTTTTCTCACTGAATCATACTTCTTGAATAATATCTTCTAATCCTAATCTCTCGGATTACTTCTAATACCCTTACTACATCTTCTAATATTGGATTTGAATTGACAATTACGTCTCTGTGCTGATGTGGTATGGCGACATGAACTGATGTACTTACGTACGCACGAAGTTCTACGTTGCATCCTACCGACCGACTGTTTTATTCATGCCACGAGCCACTCTTCGGTTACCCACGATCTCCAGTCATCCTGAATGGCAAATCGACCTAAGTCCCCCTAGTCTTAATGACGTTGAGAAAGCGTTAGGAAACCTGAAACGAGGACGAGCTGCAGGTCCTGATAGACTGACCCCTGAGATATTTAAGGATGGTGGTCCAGTTTTATCAGCTAGGTTGACTGAGATCTTAGGTAGAATCTGGGAACTGGACGTAATCCCATCCGCCTGGTCTCAATCACTGATTGTCCCAATCTATAAGAAAGGACAAAAGTCTTCTTGTGACAATCACGGGGGAATAAGTCTAACTAATATAGTATCTAAAATATTGGCCTCAATAATACTTCGACGCTTAACGAAAGCTCATGAAGAGCAGACTCGAGAAAACCAGGCTGGTTTTCGACCTGGACGTGGTTGTATAGACCACATATTCACACTCAGACAGGTCCTGGAACATAGACACACATTTGGGCGTCCTACAATAGTTGTTTTCCTGGACCTTAAGGCGGCATTTGACTCTGTGGATCGTGAAGTTCTGTGACGGTGTCTGTCATTGAAAGGTGTACCAAAGAAGTACATTAACCTTATACAAGCCCTTTACTCGAACACCACTGGTCGAGTGAGGGCTTATGGCGAACTGTCACCGGAATTCTCTGCATCAAGTGGTGTACGTCAGGGATGTCCACTTTCTCCATTCTTGTTTAATTTTATCATAGACATGCTCCTAGTAATAACCTTATCCTCGTCTGAATTTTCTGGAGTAGACCTTCTACCAGGTGGCTCGCTTATTGATCTAGAATATGCCGATGACATAGTCCTACTTGGTGAAGACGCTGACAAAATGCAGTCTTCTGACTACCCTAAGCAACAATGCAAGCATGTTCGGGATGCGGTTTTCTCCCTCGAAATGCAAAATGTTGCTTCAAGACTGGGTTTCATCGGCACCTGAACTAGTGATAGGGAGTGAAGTAGTCGAGCGTGTAGACCGCTTCACTTATCTGGGGAGTCTCATCAGTGCCGATGGCCTGGTGACTGACGAAATCTCAGCTCGGATACAGAAGGCTCGATTAGCTTTTGCCAACCTGCGTCACTTATGGCGTAGGCGTGGTATCCGTTCTCTAATCAAAGGACGAGTGTACTGTGCAGCAGTTCGCTCCGTTCTCTTATATGGCTGTGAAACATGGCCAGTGAGAGTAGATATTCGTAGGTTACTGGTTTTCGATCATAGGTGTCTTCGAAGCATTGCTCGTATACCGTGGGACAACCGAGTGAGCAATGCTGTCGTTAGGAAACGGGTCCTAGGCAAGGATGGCAGATCAATAGATGAAGTGGTGAAACTTCATCAGTTGAGGTGGTTGGGACATGTGTTGCGTATGCCGAACCACCGACTGCCTCGTCGAGCCTTGTTTTGTGGTGTAGGAGTAGGTTGGAAGAAAGTTAGGGACGGCCAAACCAAAACATGGCAGAAATCCATGAATTCATTGACTAGTGGACTGAGCCATGTCGGTAATTGTCAACTACCTGGTTGGGGTCCGCGAAATGATAATAATCGATGGTTAGAGACCTTGAATGACATGGCTCAAAATCGTTCGCAATGGCGCCGGTGCATTTATTCTTTGTGTTCTCTCAAATCCTAATCTTCTAGATTCTTCAACCCCTCTAGTTTTGACTTTCTAAACTTTTCTCACTGAATCATACTTCTTGAATAGTATCTTCTAACCCTAACCTCTCCGATTACTTCTGATTCCCTTACTACCTCTACTACTATTGGATTTGAATTGACAATTATATCTCTGTGCTGATGTGGTATGGCAACATGAACTGATGTACTTACGTACGCACGAAGTTCTACGTTGCATCTGACTGACTTTATTCATGTTTTAATTTATATAGCAAAGTAATGCAATTATTAAAAGGTAATTTTTAAAAAGGAAGACCGCGGGCTACGCTGTCGTCAATAAACGTTAACTGCTAATTCGCGTTGATGATCGATTATTTAGTGTTCAAAACTGCCTGACCAATGATGTCGTCAGTAGACTCTCATCTGATGTGTATGTTTCTATATGTAGTGACATAGTTGCATTATATAAAAAACGGAGTATACCTTTGAGAATTTGTGTATTAGGCAAAATGTCTTTCGCTATATATATATATATATATATATATATATATATTTGGTAATCATATATCATCAAGTTTAAACAGTACTGACTAGTTATTGGATATAACTTGAAATACTTGTATAACTTAAGGACATCATAAATCTTTAGTTCTGTAATAGAAAAAAAGTGTATTTAAACCATACAACAAATAGGCTAACATTACACAGATAGCTTAATGTTTACGTGTTGATTCACAGGTAAGGGGATTTAACTACGAAAAGACTAAGAAGTACTTCTAAAAATGCAAGTTGTTAGAATGTACCAAACATTCAATTCTAAATGAGGTTTGTGAAACCACCAAAACTCATGGTAAATGAAATCTAGCTTTTTAATATAATCATGTTTTTATTAGTCGATTTACAAAACCACCAGTAATTTTAATAAATACCCATGCAATTTTCGTCACACCATCGGTAACAACAACAACAACAAATAAAATCTTTATTGATATTCAAATCCTTAATTGTGGATGTCTGAAATTGTCAGCCAGTAACAACGTAGAACCTTGTACGTCCGTACATCAGTTCAGGTTGACATACCACATTAGCACGGAGACGCAGTTGTCAGTACAAATCCCATAGTGATAGAGATAGTGGAAGTATTAGCGGTAAGGGAGAAGATTAGGGTTCGGAAAAGTTATTCTAAAAGTATAACTTAGTGAAACAAATTTAAAAAGAGAAAGGTAGAGATGATGAGGAATTCAGAAGCTTAGAATTTCATAGAACACAAACAGGTGGATGCACCTGCGCCACTGCAAACGACTTTGAGCCACGTCACTCAGGGTCTCTAACAATCAATTACTATCATCTCGTGGGCTCCATCCAGGTAGTCGACACTTACCAACATGACTCAGTACACTTGTCAATGACTTCATGGATTTGTGCCATGTTTTGGCTTGGCCGCTGCTAGCTTTCTTCCAACCTATTCCTACATCGCAAAGCACAGCTCGACGAGACCTTCGGTGATTAGTAAAACGCAACACATGTCCCAACCACCTCAACTGATCAAAGTTAACTACTTAATCAATTGATTTGCCATCTTTCTTAGTACCCTTTTCCTAACCACCGCATGGCTTACTCGATGATCCTGGGATATACTAGCAATGCTTCAAAGACTCCTATGATTGGAAACAAGTAACCTACGAATATCTTTAGCTCTTACCGGCCACGTTTCACAGCCATAAAGTAGGGCGGGGCGGACTGCTGCTCAGTAGACTCGACCTTTGGTTGGCAAACGGATATCTCGCCTACGCCTTATGCGACGCAAGTTGGTAAAAGCCAATCAAGCCTTCTGTATCCGTGCTGAGATTTCGTCAATCACCTGGCCATCAGCACTGATGAGACTGCCCAGATAAGTTAAGCGGCCAGCACGCCCAACCACTTCACTCCTTATCACACTAGTTCAGGTGCCGATACAGGTCAATCGTGAAACATCATTTTGCATTTCGAGGGGGAAAAACCGCATCCCGAACATGCTTATCATTAAGGAAAAGGTAGATGTACTCAGAAGGCAAGTATCTACTCAAGCTCTAATAGATAATCCTCAATAAATGGCTATCCATCCAGGGCTTCTTTTTAGCAAAACACAAAACGTAAATTACTATCTTCGAAACCTCATATAATTCCTAGGAATATTGAGTTCAACAAGGATACTGCTGCGGAGATTTTGAAGAGTTGTTTCTCTAAATGTCTCAGGAAAATGTTAATGTCACCAAGCTTCGCATCATCATCTTTCCCAACCACCCTACCATTCAGAGTTAATAAAACTTATGCACTCACTGTACAGGCGTAAGCATTCCATCTTGCTAAGCCTAAACTCTGTACAATTTGTTAGTGGTCTGGAGTACTGTCCGAGTGTCCAGAACATAGCAGGTGATTTTCTTAGCGGGCCATTTCTCGAGCTCTTGACCCAAAGGTTTAGTCTACACGGTAGTGGATCAGCTTCAGGAGATGCATTTCCACGGTATCCGGTGACCAACAATAGGTCCATTCGTTTCGTCTAAACACTGAAGCCTATGTGTACCACTGGTTTAGAGTAAAGATTTTCCAACTCCCCTAGTGCAGTTCTCCATACCCACCAACTCGGTTGAAGATTACTTCCGCCTATCACCTCTATTGGAGCATAGGCTGCCGACCAGGATTTCTTATCCAATTTTGTCCTGGGCTGTCCTTCCTAGTTCTCAATGGCTATTCATTCTTTTCGTATCTATCTTGGTCTACCTCTTTTCTTGACTTTGAGAACTCCTAGTTGGGGCTTGCCTCGTCATGCGGTCGAGTGATTTCCGCATTGTGTGTCCTATCCATTTATAGCACTTTTTCTTAATTTTATTCCTCAGCTAGTCAGTCAGTCAGTCAGTTGCAACGTAGAACTTCGTACGTAAGTACATCAGTTCATGTCGCCATACCACATCAGCACAGAGATATAATTGTCAATTCAAATCCAATAGTAGTAGAGTCAGTAAGGGTATTAGAAGTATTCGGAGAGGTTAGGATTAGAAGATATTATTCAAGAAGTATGATTCAGTGAGAAAAGTTTAGAAAGTCAAAACTAGAGGGGTTGAAGAATCTAGAAGATTAGGATTTGAGAGAACACAAAGAATAAATGCACCGGCGCCATTGCGAACGATTTTGAGCCATGTCATTCAAGGTCTCTAGCCATAGATTATTATCATCTCGCGGACCCCAACCAGGTAGTCAACAATTACCGACATGGCTAAGTCCACTAGTCAATGACTTCATGGATTTGTGCCATGTTTTGGTTTGGCCCCCCTAACTTTCTTCCAACCTATTCCTACACTACAAAACAAAGCTCGATGAGGCAACTGTGATAAGTGAATGTGAGAAGAGTTAGTCGTGGAGATAAGAGAGGTACTACGGGGTGTAGGAAGGATTTGATTTAGACCAATTCGGTCTCGCGTGCTGTTACGGGTATGAGGACGGTTGTCACTTCCCGGCTGCCTACACCGTGGGAGGCTGTTTCTTGAGGAACCTGGAAAGAAAGGTAGATTAGTGTTGGTCTTAGAGACCTGAGTGCGTGACCGCAGAGCCCGAGGAACAACTGCTTGAGGCTGGTCACGCACGGCCTTTTTATGAAAGGTTTTTTGAGAATTAGCTCCGTTCTTAAAGGCTTTTAGTGGGCACCCTTACCGCCGGAGACGGAAATCCGTGAGTTAGGGGAGGTGTAACATTTTTAGGGCCGACCTTTTCTAATCCTTCCTTGCTTGTGAGAAGGTAGCATCGTTGCAGATGCTGGTTGTCTGAGGGAAACACCTTACTGCTGTCACACCCCTCTGCAGTCAGCAGTACGACTTCGTCGTCAGACCTTGAGTAGCTGCTTTTAGTCTGATCGCTCTCCAATCGACCTGTCTGGCATGGTAGAACCTTGAGGAATATATGTTCCAGCCAGTATAGCTCGGTTGGATCATCACGATAGGCAAGCCCGACCACCACGTCGAGGTAGCAGCTACGGTCGGGTTCCTCGGCTAGAATCCGGTTTCTTCTCTCCCACAGTAGGTTGTTGCTGATGTTGTCTTGCATAGACAACCAGGTTGAAGTGCTGGATATTATTATTATTATGTAAAATGATTAGTGTATATAATTTTTTCACTCATTCAACTTAATTCATTTTATATATATTTGAAATATTCAAATTCAACTTTCAAGGTATGATTACCCTATCCATTGTCAATCCAATTTGGGTTATTAAAACTAGATTATGTTTACAATATGAAGCGTTAACAAAATCGATTCCAACACCTCAACTCGCTAATTCATCCTCGCCATCCCCATCGCCATCATCCATAATACTACGTCCTCAATCAACATGGCATGCTTTGTCTAATCTATGGACAAGCGAAGGTTTTGCTGGATTATATCGTGGTTATGTACCAGGTTTATTTGGTGTTAGTCATGGAGCTATTCAATTTATGTTTTATGAACATTTTAAAAATTCTTACAATATACATTATCGTAAAAAATTAGTGAATGAAAAATTGGTAAGTGATCTATTCGGTGTTGTTTTAACTTCTCTGTCTTAATTATCCTATGTTCCAGGATGTTGCTTCAAGACTGGGTTTCATCGGCACCTGAACTAGTGATAGGGAGTGAAGTAGTCGAACGTGTAGACCGATTCACTTATCTGGGGAGTCTCATCAGTGCTGATGGCCTGGTGACTGACGAAATCTCAGCTCGGATACAGAAGGCTCGATTAGCTTTTGCCAACCTGCGTCACTTATGGCGTAGGCGAGATATCCGTTTGCTGATTAAAGGACGAGTGTACTGTACAGTAGTAGTTCGCTCCATCTTACTTTATGGCTGAGAAACATGGCCAGTCAGAGTAAAAGATATTCGTAGGTTACTGGTTTTCGATCATAGGTGTCTTCGAAGCATTGTTCGTATATCGTGGGACACTCGATTGAGCAACGCTGTTATTAGGAATCGGGTGCTAGGTAAGAATGGCAGATCAATAGACGCAGTAGTAACACTTCATCAGTTGAGGTGGTTGGGACATGTGTTGCGTATGCCTAACCACCGACTGCCTCGACGAGCTTTGTTTTGTAGTGTAGGAATAGGTTGGAAGAAAGTTAGGGCCGGCCACACCGAAACATAACACAAATCCATGAAGTCCCTGACAAATGGACTTAGCCATGTCGGTAATTGTCGACTACCTGGTTGGAATCGATGGTTAGATACCCTGAATGACATGGCTCAAAACCGTTTGTAGTGGCGCGTGTGCATTTATTCTTTGTGTTCTCTCAAATCCTAATCTTCTGGATTCTTCAACCCCTCTAGTTTCGACTCTCTAAACTTTTCTCACTGAATCATACTTCTTGAATAATATCTTCTAATCCCAACCTCTCCGATTACTTCTAATACCCTTATTTCCTCTTTTACCATTGGATTTGAATTGACAATTATATCTCTGTGCTGATGTGGTATGGAGACATGAACTGATGTAATTACGTACGAAGTTCTATGTTGCATCTGACTGATGTTCCAGTATTGATAATAATTCAGTCAAACGGTCAGTGTTGGGGATGTTAGATCCCCAGAACTCGCCTAATAAATATCTTTATTTTGGACCGATCAGTTGACCTTGAGATCACATTTCCTACCAGCAAAATCCTTGGCTGTGATTTGTTATGGTTTCATTTTAGTGTGTTATTTTGTGACTGCCGTAAGGACGTCTTTATGATGTATAAATAAACGGGATTTGTGTGCTTGGATTGATTGTGTGCTGGCTGGGTGTTTGTAGAATCCAATTTCTACACTTGGGACAATCGGATCACAGTAGCCTACCTGGACACTGGTGAACGCGTAATAGTTTTAAGCATACCTAGAGACCAGCGTAACAGTCAGTCAGTCAGTTACAACATAGAACTTCGTACGTACCTACCTACGTACATAATCATTCACTTTGCTTAAGTGTAAGCATGCAAAACGGTGACCCATTGATAGAAAAAATACAGATCATTGTCAGTTGATCGTTAAAAGTTTAGAATAAAAACTAATATGTGCTGCAAATGGATTAAATTATTTAATTTTATACTCAACTACTGATGAATGATAAAGTGATCGTTGGAATAGTGAACAAAATTCATGTACAGTAAGGTGAATGGTGTTATTTTTTGAACCAATTTGTATTAACCTCCTCTTTCCATTTTGATGAGGTATTATCGCTTCGAACGTTGGTTGTCTTAAGAAACCGCCCCCCAGTACAATCAATAGTACGATTTCACTACCAAGCTTTAAATGCCTGTTTTTTGCCTAGGGTGATAAGATTAGAAAGAACTAGTATTCTACACATTATTGCTCAATCGAATCATCACAATACGTAAAAACCGTTAGCAGATGAAGTCAAAAGAACAGTACATGTATTACACTAAGTTGAGTGTACGTTTTAAACTTACGCACAGCTAGGTTACAGATTTACAGTGTATAGAAGAAACAATATTTCATTGAGTAACTAATATAATCAAACCTTACTAGTACAAACTGGAAAGGAATGTCTTTTTTGACAAGAAAATTGATTAAAGTCCTGGATAAAAGTGTCACAGTAATGTCTATTACGCTGAGAAAACACCATACTTTCTATGTCCGAAGGTGGTTGGACATAACCTACTGAATATTAATAAGTAGTTTGACTTTTTCCTTTCTAATTTCAGTCCGCTATCGAGTACCTAACATTTTCATCAGTTTCTAAACTGATTGCAGCTGTCATAACTTATCCATACCAAGTGGTTCGTTCAAGAATGCAAGATCAGCATAGGAAATACAATGGAGTCACTGATGTTATTCGACAATTATGGAGGTTAGTTAGCTGGTGTTTCAAATTCATCTGTATAATTCTTTTTATCCGTAAGAAAATAAAACTCTTATTTCTCAAAAATTTTAAAATTTCTATATTCTCTGATAAATTTATCGGTTAAATTGGAAGTGTAAATATATTTTCTTTGCCCTCGTTCGTAGTGGATTCGCATAATTGGCAGCATAGAGTTGTGAAAATTGTTAAATATGGTTGTGCAATATCCTAGATCGCTTCAAGTTAGTCATTAACATCGTTAGTTAATGGACTCGTTGGTCTAGAGATTGAGCGTTCGCACCGGAGACTGAATGTTCTAGTTTGAACTCCCGTGTGTGGGGTCGTGAATCCGCACTCGGAGCAGTGAACTGACCATCCAGTGCTCACCGGTTTTCAATGATTTGACCGATTTGGTCTCTCGTGCTGTTATGGGTATGAGGCCAGTTGTCACTTCCCGGCTGCCCACACCGTGGAAGGTTGTTTCTTGAGGGACCTGAAAAGGAAGATAGATTAGTGTTGGTCTTGGAGACCTGGGTGCGTGACCGCAGAGCCCAAGGGACAACTGCTTGAGGCCGGACACGCACGGCCTTTTTATGAAAGGTTTTTTGAGGATTACCTCCGCTCTTTTTAAAGCCCTTAGTGGGCACCCTTACCAACGGAGACGGAGATCCGTGAGGTAGTGTGAGGTGTGATATTTTTAGGGTCGACCTTTTCTAACCCTTCCTTTGTTGTGAGAAGGCAGCATCACTGCAGATGCTGGTTATCCGAGGGAAACAACCTACTGCTGTCACACCTCTCTGCAGTCAACAGTACGACTTCGCCCTCAGACCTTGAGTAGCTGCTTTTAGTCTCATCGTTCTCCAATCGACCAGCCTGGCATGGTAGAAGCTGCAGGAACATATGTTCCAGCCAGTATAGCTTGGTTGAGTCATGACGATAGTCAAGCCCGACCACCACGTCAAGGTAGCAGCTACGGTCGGGGGTTTTCAATGATGGTCTAACACGGACCAGTCGATGATGTCAGTAGAGTCTTATAAATCTTCTATTCTCCCTATGAATCAATTCTATGTTCGTTTAAAAGTACAGTAATTGTTGTGTCAACACTGTTAGCTTAGTTAGTTCTATTTTCGGCTTTTAATATATGTGATTAAAATTATATTGAATCTGTATATAGATAACATTTTATATAATTCTTCTTAGAAAGAAAATAAAAATTTATTATATGCGTACTGTAACAGTCAATCAGTCAGTTAGACGTTACTCCATTGCCTTGTGGATTAGACTTCTCCGTCAAAGACTCAAAGAGTAGCCTCGTAATAAAACTACTTGCTTGGATGTTTGGACAATCAGTGGGTGTATCAGTCCACTTACAAACTCAATAATTTGTGTGGCACATAAATAAATATTTAAATTATTCTTGTATGTTTAAATCGGTGAAACAATACAGTCATCTAGAAATTAAAACCTGTTACTTGTTATAGCATTCAACATCTTTATGTTTGTAAAAAATGCCTTAGTTGAAATATACCCAGCAAAGTTATCACGTATATTATAATATCTGGTATAAATGTGCATCATTTCAGATGATCACATTCCACAGTAACAGTAAAGCAACAGTAAATAAAAGCAAACAAGTATTAACAGTTATTTCAAAGGATTCAAGCATTTATGTATATTTCCTAAACAACAGGACAAGTGTCAATTAGTCAGTCAGCTACAACGTAGAACTTCGTACGTACGTACGTACGTACATTAGTTCAGGTTGCCATACCACATTAGCACAGAGATCCCATAGTAGTAGAGGGAGTAGAAGTATTAACGGTAATCAACAAATTAGGGTTCGAAGATATTATTCAAGAAGTATAATTCGGTGAAGTAAACTTAGAAAAAATAAAGATAGAGGTGATGAAGAATCTGTTAGAATAAAATCTGAGAGAAGACAAAGAATGGATGCATTTATGCACTGCAAACAATTTTGAGGCATGTGATTCAAAGTGCTTAACCATCGGTTACTCTTGTCTTGCTCATCCCAACCAGGTAGTCCAGACTTACACTAATATGACTTAGTTCACTTTTCAGTGACTTCATGCATTTGTGCCATGTTTTGGTTTGACGGCCCCTAGCTTTCTTCCAACCTACTCCTCCTACACCAGAAAGCTTAGCTCTTCAAGGCAGTCGATGGTTGGGCATACGTAACACATGTCCCAACCACCTCAACTGATGATTAACTCGAAGATGGCAATCTGAAAGTGTATACACTTGACCAACCTTTGATACAGTTCAAACGAACAGTTATTATTTACTTAATGTTTGGTAATATTAGTTCTTGGTTTTTTAGTATCACAACACAGATTCTAAACATCTTTGTAAATGACCTTTCTAAACCTAATCAATTAAATTATCATCATTCTAGACTATGTATGACCTTAGATTTCCTTTCAGTATTGGTTATTCAATGGTTTATAACAAGTATCGAGGATCAATATCATTTATTTCTAAAAGTCTAATATATTCAGTCGTTTTTTTATGTGGAGTTTCATTCTCTGAACCTGAAATCGTTTGATCGCATGGCGTTCATTGTTATTCTGAGCATGGTTTAATCAACAATCGGCCAAACGATGAATGCATGCATTCTATCAAGAGACAGCTTCCATTTCTAAAGAGTAAAACATTCAGTCAGTCAGTTACAACGTAGAACTTTGTACGTAAGTACATCAGTCCAAGTTGCCATACCACATTAGCACAGAGATATAATTGTCAATTCAAATACCCCCATAGTAGTAGAGGTAGAAAAAGTATTAGAAGTAGTCGGAGAGATTAGGGTTCAAAGATGTTATTCAAGAAGAATAATTCAGTGAGGTAAATTTAGAAAGAGAAAGATAGAGGTGATGAGGAATTCAGATGGTTAGCTGCTACCTTGATGTGGTGGTCGGGTTTACCTCTCGTGATAACCCAGCCGAGCTATACTGGCTGGAACATATGTTCCTCGAGGTTCTACCATGTCAGGCAAGCCGATTTGAGAACGATGAGACTAAAAGCAGCTACTCAAGGTCTGATGGTGAAGTCGTACTGCTGACTACTGCAGAGGGGTGTGACAGCACTAAGGTGTTTCCGTCAGACAACCAGGATCTGCAGCGATGCTTCCTTCTCACAACAAACGAAGAGTTAGAAAAGGTCGACCCTAAAAATATCACACCTCCCCTAACTCACGGATTTCCGTCTCCGTTGGTAAGGGTGCCCACTAAGAGCCTTTAAGAGAGGAGCTAATCCTCAAAAATCCTTTCATGAAAAGGCCGTACGTGACCGGCCTCAAGCAGTTGTCCCTTGGGCTCTGCCGTCACGCACCTAGGTCCCTGAAGAAACACTCTTTCATGGTGTGGGCAGCCGGGAAGTAACATCCGCCCTCGTACCCATAAAAGCACATGAGACTAAATCGGTCACAATCAAATCCTTTCTACACCTCGTAAAACATTCACCATTAGTAATGTAATTACTTGAAGGACAGATATCTGGACAGGTGCACATCCACTGCCATCTATTCTTATTAGTACGTAAATTGCCTTTTCTCATCCTCGTACCTAATTGGGCATCATATGTCTACAGGAGAAGATTACGTGTCAATATCAAATAGGACATTGCATAGCTTTTTTTATAATTGTGATCATTGTTCTTCATTTTTACACGAGTAATTTATACTCATTTGTTTTTATTTGTTTACAATCTATATATACAATATGTATAGAGGTGAAGGTGTTCATGGATTTTATAAAGGACTTGTACCATATGTACTTCGATGTACACCGGCTTGTGGAATCACTTTTCTTGTATATGAATATACTTTAATCATATTTGATTGGTTCAAATGACATACTAGTTAACTGTGAAGGCTATATATATATATAGCTGTTATTTATACTTAGTTTTCTTTACATGTAGAGTGAGATATCTTTAACTCATACATTTTTTGTAGTAAATTATATACATATATCAATGATTTATGTATATATTTGTTCTCAATTTTGATTATATCTTATACTGTACATTCTTTATATATATTGCATAATTCTTGTAATAAATTACTTAATTTAGTATTGATTTGCAGTGTAATAAAGAGTTTCGAACTAGCAAGAAGTAACTTGTTACGCTCGTCACTAAGTATGCCTTGAGGCTACTACGAGTTCAACTTAGTTGATAAACGCGAACGAGACAAAGAACCAGCGCCCAGGTAGGCTACCTTGAATCCCCAAATAGAGTAAAAAGACTTTGTAAGCGTAGAAAGTATATTCTATAAACACCCAGCAATCACACAATACAATCAAGCATACAACTATCGTTTATTCATGCATCATAGAAACGTCCTTGGTACAGTTAAGAAAATAGCACACTAACAAAATACAGCAGCCAATCACAGCCATGGATTTTCCTGGTGGGAATTGAAATCTCAACGTCAACTGATCCGCCCATGCTCGCAAACGTGAAAACCAAAAAAGGCATTTATCAAGCGAATTTTGAGGATCTAACATCCCCAACATAACTGTTCTATGATCAATCAATTAATCATAAACTTGGGATAGTATACCACTGATGCAATGTGGTAAAAGTCTTTAAGAAATCTTAGTTACCGAATAGTAATTAGGCAATTAAAAGTGAACAAACAGTTAGTGTGTTTCGTTATACAATGTCATTGATTTCAAGCTAGCTATATTACTTGTAGGTCATCAGGTGAATCTCAACATGATGGTCGACATCTCGCTATGCGTATGAAATTAACAAAATATAAAGACTTGATTGACTTGGATTGCTTCAGATTGCAAGCATGAATTAGCAGTCGGCCAGTCAGTTACAACGTAGAACTTCGTACGTAAGTACATCAGTTCAGGTTGTCATACCACATTAGCACAGAGACACAATTGTCAATTCGAACCCCATGGTGTTAGAGATAGTAGAAGTATTACTGGTAATGGATAAGATTAGGATTTGAATACATTATTCAAGAAGTGTAATTCAGTGAGATAAATTTAGAAAGATAAAGATGATGAAGTATTGAGAAGGTTAGAATTGGAGAGAACACAAAGAGTGGATGCACCGGCGCCATTGCAAACCATTTTACGCCATGTCATTCAAGGTCTCTAACCATCGATGACTTTCGTCTTGCGGACCCCAACCAGGTAGTCTACATCTACCAACATGACTCAGTACAGTTGTCAGTGACTTCATGGATTTCTGCCATGTATGTTTTGGTTTGGTCGCCCTTAGCCTTCTTCCAACCTCCTCCTAAACTACAAAATATCGCGGCGATCGGTGGTTAGGCATTCGTAACACATGTCCCAACCACCTCAACTGATGAAGTTTCATTACTTCATCTATTGATCTGCGTAGTACTCGTTGGGGATAGCAAATCGATAGATGAAGTAATTAGCAAAGATGGATAGTGGCTAGCAGCGGAGTCTTTAAGATACAAGTTGATCCGGCTGGCGAGTCCCAAATAAGACGAAACACGCCTTGTGGATTCCACTGCTAGCCATTATCCACCTTTGCTAATAGATATGTAATATTAATTTGCAATCAAAATCATCTTAGTCTTATGTACATCAATTCGAGTTCCGATACGAATATCAACATAGCGATATCAGGTTATCAAAACTTTAACTGTTGCAACTACACTTATAAGCATGAAATTGTTTCGAGCCAATGAAAAACACCATAGTAGTACGCAATTATGTAATTAAAATATTTGTTCACCAAATAAGTTACTATCTTTTTTAGCGAAGAGCTAGTCGAAAATGCTGTTTTACGCGTATGTGCGTCCATGATAAAATTCTATTTCTCTCTTTAATTCGTTCAACATTCATCATATCTGAAAGTGGGATTGTGGATGTACACTACTGATAAGTCGAAATAGCTATTCTATGATTCCTAGGTTCGTCATGCAATGTACAAACAATCTCCACTAACTGTTGTTTTACAATATTTGTAAAGTAACAGATAAATGTGGTTCATGTTTGATAAGGCGATGTGAACATTTGTAAAGTTAGCGATACGTATCGTATTAAGTTTAAAAATTTTGAACTGAGATCTGTAACATTTCATACTAATCAGTTTTAAGAGGCTAATACGTATTTAAAAATCACAAGTTCATTTAACTCAGGAGACCTGGTCAACAAAAAAATTACTTACATCTTAAAATCTGTTTGGAATTAAAATATCACCTAACCGAAATATTTTGTGTAACCGCTAATCTGGGTCCAATTTCTAAGAACGATTGAATATACTGTGAAATAAGTTCCTCATCCCATTTCCATGTATCATTCTTATATATAACCCGTTTGTGCGACAGTGAGATTAAGAAGTCAAATAAACACTGATTTGAGTGAACTTATTTCATACGATCAATCAAGCAGACAGACATAAGAATATGAAACTTAAAAGCTGTTAGGTTCGTCACTAGATATGCTTGAAACTGTTACGGGTTCACCTTAGTCGATAAATACGAACGAGACAATGAACAAGCGTCCAGGTAGTCTATCCTGATCTGAAACGGCTAAAGAGAAGTCTTGATGTAGCGTAGAAAGCATATTCTACAAACACTCATCAAGCTCAATGCAATGCTATCATTGTTTCTTTACTTATTCAGTGAAACGGGAACGAAATTGTATTTTGGTTCAAAGCACGTGCTGGGGTACGTGGTCTATCGCTGCGTACTTCGATATCTTGGTCATATCAGATGAGTCGTGGTGCAAATTACGGTGTTTGAGTCTTGATGTGATGTGCGACCCGTTCTGAAGACCATGTCAGGCGGGGAGTTTGAGTGGGGCGGTACATCCGTCAAATGGTAACGCGGGTGTCCTATGGTGAGCTCAGTCAGGACAGAAACCTGGCGTAGAGTAAAAGGGCAAAAGCTTACCTGATTTCGATTTTCAGTACGAATACAGATCGTGAAAGCGTGGCCTATCGATTCTCTTGATGTTATTTTCGGAGTTTGAAGCAAGAGGTGTCAGAAACGTTACCACAGGGATAACTGGCTTGTGGCGGCCAAGTGTTCATAGCGACGTCGCTTTTTGATCCTTCGATGTAGGCTCTTCCTATGATTGTGAAGCAGAATTCACCAAGCGTTGGACTGTTCACCCACTAATAGGGAACGTGAGCTGGGTTTAGACCGTCGTGAGACAGGTTAATTTTACCCTACTAATGAGTATTCAGTGAAGTACAATCTGGCCGTTGCTATGGTAATCCTGTTTAGTACAAGAGGAACCGCAGGTTCAGATAATTGGTATATGTGCCTGGTCGAAAGGCCAATGGTGCGAAGCTACCATCAAGCACACAAATCTCGTTTATTTATAAATCATAAAAACATCCTTGGGACAGTCACAAAAATGGCTCACTAAAATACACAGCGGCCAATCACAGACAAGGACTTCCCTGGTGAGAAATGAAATCTCAAGGTCAATTGATCAACCAATGCTCGCAAACGTGAAATCCAAAATAAGGCATTTATCAAGCGAGTTCTGGGGATCTAACGTCCCCAACAAAAGCAAAGCGAGTAATCCAGCACTATGCGATAAAGCACGACCAAGCATTTATAGTCAGACACAAGTAGGCTAGACATGTGATAATCAAGGTAGGCATGTACGCACACAAACAAAAGCAACCAAGATTATGGGCGAATAATAGACGAGGTCGAAAGACGTGGATGAATCTAGAAGGACGTATTAATTAATTTGTTCAAACGCTGACATAAGACATATGAGCTCGACGTATTTATTGGTCTATCCAAGGTTTATTAGTTGATGAAATGTAAACAGAAGTCAACCTGTTGTTACTGCTTCTTTTGAATGTGTGTATGACCTGTTGTTGATTCTTCTAGGTTGTTGTGGTATGTTTGACGAATTTTGTTGCAGAAATCAATTTACTGGAGAGTATATTCTTTGAATTCCACACCATTAAGTCTCTGCATGTAAATAAAACGCTTCTTAAAGGTTCTGATGCTAGTTAGTTGACGGTATACAAGAAACCTTATCTTCCTTGTATTGGTTTTGACTCAGTATATTTTAAGGGCATGGGATCTAACTTTATTTTAGACGAACGATTGAAATTGCTAGTGAAATAAATCTTTCATTTAATTTCCCTTAGGTGGTGAATCCGGTTTGTGCGATGGCGGCAATGAGAAACCCGATACGGTTTGACTTAAATGACTTGATTTTATATATTTGCGTATGTAGGCAAATATAAGAATAACAAGTGTAAAAGTCAATCGAAGGAGAGTGGATTCACTACATTTGATGAAGCATGACTAACCATTTATAACCAGACAAAAATTAGCTAAACATTGCGGCAAACGAAGTAAGCAATACATACGCACTGAAGTAAAAGCATTCGAAGATATAAGCAAATAGACAGACAGACAGATACAACGCAGAACTTCGTACGTAAGTACATCAGTTCAGGTTGCCATACCACATCAGCACAGAGATGAACTGTCAGTTCAAATCCAAGAGTGATAGCAATAATAGAAGTAATGGAGAAGATTAGGGAGTGACAACATTTTTCATTTCAAGGGGGAAAACCGCATCCCGAACATGCTCGCATTGTTGCTCAGGGTAGTCAGAAGACTGCATTTTGTCAGCGTCTTCACCGAATAGAACTATGTCATCGGCATATTCTAGGTCAGTAAGCGATTTTCCTGGTAGAAATTCGACTCCTGAAAATTCAGACGAGGATAAGGTTATATCTAGGAGCATGTCTATGACAACATTAAACAAGAATGGAGAAAGTGGACATCCCTTTCGGACACCACTTGAAGTGAAGAATTCCGGTGACAGAACCTCACGATCCACTGAGTCAAATGCCGCTTTTAGATCCAGGAAGACAACTATTTTAAGACGCCTAAATGTATGTCTGTGTTCCAGGACCTGTCTTAGTTTGAAGATGTAATCCATACATCCACGTTCATGTCTGAAACCAGCCTGGTTTTCTCTAGTTTGCTCTTCACGAGTTCTAGTTAGGCGTCTAAGTATAATCGAGTCTAACAATTTAGAAACTATATTAGTTAGACTGATTCCCCTGTGATTGTCACAAGCAAATAACTGACGAGATCAAAATACATGTAAATAATGACGCAGGAAGAATGAACCAACTGGATCGTTCAAAACCTGTGTAAGCTTATCATAATGCTACACACTAAAATATTTTGAACAAATTGTATTATACATTTTTATCATCATATTCATTTGTCTACTTACTAATACTTAATAGTAATATAAAAATATATTTATAAAATTTAATTTACTAAACTTCAGGGTACAATTTTGTGAATGTGTAATTCGTAGAGCTGAATGAATGATTTATTCGTGAAGCAATCGATGTTTTTCTCAACTACATCACTAGTAGACATTTTAATGAGAAATAAGTCATAAGAATTCCTCAACATAATCGATTAGCTGCTTATTTTGTGGACCTATAATTTGATTGTTTGTTGTTGCCCATATAGCTCATCATTTGTATGTATGCTTTGATTATTTTGATCTGCAATTTGATCCACGAACATGAAGTTGCTGACCCTTCGCCTTATTGGTCAGGGGCCACCGTTTTATCGTACTTAGTGCTTCTTTTGATTATTCCAAATGATTTTGTAGATACAGTTTTGTTTATCTCTGCTTATTATATAATTATATCCTTTGGTCTGCTCAACACTGGAAAAGATTCTATGTGTTTGTATACTACACCTATTCCTCTTAGTTTCCTTGATATGATTTCTGAAGTATTTTTCATACTGATTGTAATTATTCATCTGGTGATTTTTCTTGGTGATTGATTTTGTGTTTGATGATCAGTTCGATAAAGATTTATTGATGAGTCGTTGGGGTTATTGATTTTTAGAAAATATATGCATTAGGATATATCTTTCGTTTTCTCACCCAATGGCGGTGCTGTTGTTCACTTTTGAACAGGGCATTAATATAACTTAACTTATGGGTCATTGGGTTTTTACTATTGTAATTGAATAGTTTATTATTTCTGGTTGGTTTCCGATATAATTGAGTCTTAAGTTTCCCCATGTCAGTCCTAGTGATCCTTTTAACTTAAAATGGTATTCAGCCGACACATCTCATGGGCAGTGCATACCTTTATATCATCGAAGATGCTGTCAATTAGATTGTATGGTTTCGCCAGCTACTCCTGTTCGATGATGAAGAGCATGTGTATCACTGGTACGGCCAAGTCTCCAAACTTTTCACTACTGCTGTAGTGAAGGAGAACACAGGTGGATTAACCGAATTGTATTTAACGAAAATTACAGTTACTCAGTAAAATAGGAAAACCATATCGTAAATCGTTAATTTGCAAAATATCAGTCCATTATATCGAATTGGACTGTTGCAAAACATCAATCCATTGTCACTATTCATGCGTTTCATACAAATTCCATCTTCTGCTGCCAGACATTGCGTTGACACTCACGTCATATACTACTTATAAGTAGCTCGCACCACACTGCCTTTGCAATTACTCTGGATATCGGTGATCTGATTAGGATTCCTCGTAGCTGTTTATATATCTGACCAGGAAATCGTATATACGTTCTTCTCGATGAGAACAATTTAATTTCTATCTTGAAGTTTGATGTATGCACTGAAAGGTTCGTATTGTTTGTAAGATCCAAACTGAGGTTTCGACTGAGGAATAACTCTCAAGGAAGTTTAGATACGCGTCTTGCCCAGTTGAAATCCAAATAAATTTTTTGGTAAATAATGGTTCTATTATTAATCATAAATATAAATATACTTCATTACCTGGACATATATTACTACTCAGTTATTCCACCAACAATTGTTCAATTAATCAAATCAATAGCAACAAATAGCTGATATTCTATCCCTCCTGGATAGATCAGATTCGTTCGACCGATGATATTCGGTTGTTATATAACACAGAGTGTTTCCAATTCTGGAAGGGTGCTCCAATTCACAATCGAAATTCACATTTCTAGTCAATGCAAGCAACACAAATCAAAAGAGGAACAAATCAATATGACTGTCGTCATGACTTAGTATCAACTTAAACAACATAAATGCAGTTCAGAAAGAAACATAGAAAGTAAAGTAAAGTCAGAAGAAATAGAAACTATAATAATAAAATACAAATATTATCATCTCGAAATGGGATCGAACAGATTAACAAAATGTACAACTGAAGGAATCAATAAGGACAAATTATAAATGCATACATGAAGAGATTTTCACAAACGAAACCTTCAAAATGGATCTTACATTATTAGCGAAAAGTAAAGACAAGATATTACTTGACAGTTTTGAGTACTTTGAAGGTTTTAATAATGACCCAATATATTTAATTGGATAGATAATAACAATTTCGACTGAACTATTGGGTCGGTTTTATAATCTGATTTCATTTAAAGAGATGTGAATTTTTCGGTACTTTAAAATTTTTTCAGTAAGTTGTTTTATGAAGCTTATTCTATTAAAATTTCTCATCATATTTGCTTGGTAAAACGTTCTCACATTGATCAGCCATCAAAAATTTACGACTTGGGAAATACAATCATTGGTTTACTTTGCCGTCCTACAACAATGTAACTAAATGAAATTATCAAAACAAATGTTGAAGTAGAAATAGTAAAAGTAGTAGTAGTAGTAGTAGTAGTAGTAGTAGTAGTAATAGTAGTAGTAGTAGTAGTAGTAGTAGTAGTAGTAGTAGTAGTAGTAGTAGTATGGGTAGTAGTAATAGTAGTAGCAGTAGTGACCGTCTCCCACGCCGTCTTTACGGTGGCGTCGTCCAGGCTGTCGTATACCGCCTTCGCCTCACCTCCTAACAGTGTCCCCAGCACCGCCAACTCCGCCCCGGGCCCCTTCACACCCACCAGCTCCACCGCGGCCTCAAACTCCTCCGGGAAGCTGTGCCAATCTCCGTCCTCCAACTCCTCCGGCTACAGGAGCTCCTTCCTTCGAGCAGGCAGCGACACCAAATGTAGTGAACGAGAACACAGGTGAGGGCAACCGAATTGTATTTAGCGAAGATTAAAGAGTTACTCAGTAAAATAGGAAAACCATATCGTAAATCGTTCGTTAATTTGCAAAATATCAGTTCATCATCATATCGAACTGGACTGTTGTTCCTGTTGCAAAACATCAATCCATTGTCACTACTATTCATGCGTTTCATACAAATTCCATTGTGTTCCAACTCTTCCTTTCTTGATCTCCCCCCATTTTCTTCTGCCAGACATTACGTTAACACTCATGTCATATACTACTTATAAGTAGCTCACACCGCACTACTACTATATGATTTGAATTGACAATCCCATCTCTTTGTGTTAATGTTGTATAGCAACTTGTGAACTGATGTATGTACGTACGAAGTTTAACGTGACAGCTGACTGACTGACGTTACATATCAACTTGGATTCTCCAACTATATATATGTTTATTGCTGAAGATGAGATACTAATCGAAAGATTACTCATCTGATTTGAAGTATCTACAAAGCTAATATGCTTACTAATTTAAAAATAACTGTTAATCAAAATTTCAAGATGAACTGTTATTTCTTTCAATAGTCGAAAAGGTATATAGTGAAAAAGTCAGTTTATTTTACATTACAGTAATATTCTTCCAATTAGAGTTATAGAGATTAGTGTTTTTACACACTGAAATCATCAATCAATCATCGTTCGGATCCTGCAACTAACAAGAGTCGTTGATGCACACCACCGGTGAGTCCTATACCAGGGACGAAACGGCCGTCCAGGGCTTCAAAATTTCTAATGGTGGTCTAAAAATAAATGATTAATGCTTTCAGTGTGTAAAAACACTCATCTCCATAACTCTAATTAAAAGAATCGTACAGTGTGCTAAATAATGACTAAATTCTTGAGGAAATTCTCGAAGTTCAAATGAGAAGACGTGACCAGTGGAGTTAAACCCTATCCGGTGTAGGCAGTAACTACCAAAGAAAAATGGGTGAGGTCGCGCAAAATCCCTAGATCAATCACAGTTAGACAACACCGGAGGTCCTTGGTTCGAATCCTGTGAGTGGTAGGAGTCGTAGATACGCACTGCCAGGAATGAAACGACCGTCCAGTGCTTCCAGGTTTCTAACAGTGGTCTAACAATGTTTGATTGATTACTTCAAAGTGCAATTACATTTAATGCACGAATATCTAGGTAATTTTTATAAACTAAAAGACGATTGGTAAAAAAGGATTTGATGAATGAAATGATTATTTCAGTGATTTGAAGTCTTACATCTTAAATGACCACATTTTGAACTTTACAACATTCCCCATAAATTAGTTATCACCTTGTTGTAAAAATACATCAAAAATGTTCTTTATCCACTGAATTGCATTTTGTACTACCTAATTTTCCATTACAATTTCATGAAACACACTAAAATTGATTGAAATTTTATCCTTACAAGAAGTAATCTCTCCAAATTATCCAAATGCTTGTTATATTATGATTTCTGCACACACACACACACGCACACACCCGTGTACGCTGCCTAAATATACTAATATATACTACTACTTATACATAGTAGACATATCTCTATTCAGACAAATAGATATTTGAGTGGGTGTATGCCCTACACATCATTTTAAAACAAATCCCAAGGTCATATTGGTTTAGGTGCAGCACATACAATCAGTCAGTCAGTCAGTCAATCGTCAACCATTCCTTTCTTTTTTCATTGTAAGGAAAAATAGGCAATCAATTCAATATTTTTCGCTTCTCTACAAAACCCTCGCAGATCATTAAAATCCTACCTACCTACTATGTTTATATAATATATATCTATCTAACTAACTAACTAAGATTGATCGGTTATTTTTCCCTTAAAAAAAAAATCATCTCTCTCCTTCTGATTGGTGTAAACCTATTCATTGATATATGAATGAATAGATGTGTTAATAGTGTTGTGTAAATGTGTTGCACAATTGATTTTTTGGAAAAAAAATTCCATTTCATCCTTATATATATATAAATATCTATTCGTAATTGTTGTAAAACGTCAAGCATCAAATTATCTTACTGTACGTCGTTGTTCTCTTTTACAGGATTTATTCTAAAAAATAAAGTAATCCGAAGTAATTTCATTATTTTTATTTGTAAAAAAAAAAGAGTTAAAATAATTAGTAACAATTAAAAAATGGATGGAATTAAAAAGAAAATGATTGCAATGAAATTAGAGAAAGAGAATGCTATGGAAAGGTAAGTTATTGATTAGTAATAATAATAATAATAATAATAATAATAATAATAATAATAGTAATAATAGTAATGATAATAATAATGACATGTTTCTCCTGTAAATACTATGATTACAAACGGTGATATTTACTTGTTACAGTTTAAGTATTTGTAATTATATTCAAACAGAGTGTACACTGCTGATATTGTGGTGTGAGCTACTTATAAGTAGTAGTATATGACGTGAGTGTCAACGTAATGTCTGACAGCAGAAGATGGGGGGGAAGATCAATAAAGTAAGAAGAGTGGGAACACAATGGAATTTGTATGAAACGCATGAATAGTAGTGACAATGGATTGATGTTTTTTTGCAACAGGAACAACAGTCCAGTTCGATATGATGATGAACTGATATTTTGCAAATTAACGAACGATTTACGATATGGTTTTCCTATTTTACTGAGTAACTCTGTAATTTTCGTTAAATACAATTCGGTTGCCTCACCTGTGTTCTCGTTCACTACAATATAATAAAAAGTTATCTTAATGTACTAAATCATTCATCAACTAAGATGGATCGATCTAGGGGTTTTGCAAACAACACTACCATTATGATGATTATGAGATGATGGAAAAAACTATGTATAGCTTAGGTGGATGGATAATTATGATGAAGTTTCATATTCTGAGCTGTGAATGTTTTGCTTGTGGAGTTATCATTGTTCTTCTTCTGAACAACATCATCATTAGCAGCAGCACGAACTTCAGGCACAAGTTTTCTTGTTTTGAGAAGAACAGAGAAAACTCTATAGTGGTATACTTTTACGAAGATAACACAATTGTTGAAACAGAAACATTTATTATTGTACTGAATTCTGAAAATAATTGTTATATTGTACTCCTTTTGTTTATCTGTACTGACGACTATCTATCGCGCACCAAACGTGTTTTTCCCCTTTCCATTCCTCTTCTCGGTGGTTTTTAGCCAACCAGTGATAAATATACTTCTTCTTCTTTAAGACAGTCTTTTATTTGACTTCTGAATTTGATCGGGATTTACCTTATCGCTGGCTTCGTGATATCAAAATAATATCGAGACCAGAAAACTGGCGTGGCTAACAACCACCCAAGAAGAGGAGCGTAATGGATAAACAAAAGGAGTAAAATATAACAATAATAAATGTTTCTATTTCAACAATTGTGTTATCTTCGTAAAAGCATACCACTATAGAGTTTTCATTGTCCTTCTCAAAACAAGAAAACTTGTATCTGAAGTTTGTGCTGCTGATAATGATGATGTTGTTCAGAAGAAGAACAATGAAATCTCCACAATCAAAACCAATCCCCAGCTCAGAGAATGAAACTTTGTCATAAACACTAACAATAGTTAAGTTTATTATAGTTTCAAATTCATTAAAGATTGAAAATTGAGCAGCCTCAAATATTCATGTTTCTACTTATTCAAATGTTACCTTTGTATCATTTCAATTGTGATACAGTACCAATCAAATTTCAATATTATGACTTCATTTTATTAAGAGTTTATTGTTTATTATTTATTATTTAGAGCTGTACAATATGAAGAATTACTTAAGAAGAAAGAAGAAGAACGTGAAAAACGTGAAAGTGAAATTGCTGAATTAAATACAAAAATGAAACAAGCACAAATTGATTGTGATGAAGCTCAAGAAACATTACAAGAACAAATGAATAAATTAGAAGAGACAGATAAACGTGCAACCAATGTAAGTATAGTTTTTTTTCAACTCTTTAATTATACATGTATACAATAAATATTTAGCTGTAATTTAATTAATTATGATAAAAAGCTACATTGGTAAGTGATTACTATGATTACATTTGATCTATAAGATTACAATCTTAAAGGTGTCACATGTTTAAAAATTGTACTTTAATCATTGATCTTTTGACACTCAGTTAATATAACCAATCCCGACCGTAGCTGCTACCTTGACGTGGTGGTCGGGCTTGCCTATCACAATGGCGCCGTTGCATTTTTTCTTTGTGTTCTCTCAAATCCTAATCTTTTGGCTTCTTCAACACCTCTAGTTTTGACTTTCTAAACTTTTCTCATTTAATCATACTTCTTGAATAATATCTTCTAATCCTAACCTCTCCGATCACTCCTAATACCTTTACTACCTCTTCTACTATTGGATTTGAATTGACAATTACATCTGTGTGCTGATGTGGTATGGCGACATGAACTGATGTACTTACGTACGAAGTTCTACGTTGCATCTGACTGACTGACTGACTAATATAACCAATTCTCATATTGGAAATGTAACTCAAAGTTAAGTAGACAATTTGTTATTTAGTAAATGAGGTATGTTATAGAAGACCATTTTCAAATCAGAGTTCATTAATTTCGCAATATTTATAATATTCGAGAAAAATTACTTAGAATTATGTCAAAGTTTCTAAATAAGTTGACTTTTTGAGAGCAATAGCCTATCAAAAGATTTAAGAAAAGATATATTTGTGATCAATCCCCATAAAGTTTGATTGCAAACACAATGTTCTTTCACTATAACTGATTGTAACTGAAAACCTAACAACGTGATGAGTGAGCCCAAATACATTGTGAAAACTATGGGTGGTTAGGCCAGTTCACTAGATTAGTTTGTAAAACGGATCTATTTTCGATATGTATTACATGTAATTCCGTGCTTCAAAGTACTATGTTATTCCGAAAGGATTCGTAAGTATTATAAGAACAATCAATACATGATGTGTTATTTGATTTCAGGTAGTCAGTAAGAAGCTGTACAGCCAAGTTTCGTGCTAGTTGCAATGCATTAGTAAGGTGTGCCTAACATCGTCAAGAAATAGGCGTTTCTTGTGAAATATGGATCCGCAGTCCAAGATGTTGCTACTGAGCTAATTTGACTGCGGCTGACTTTCTTTACGGTTGAAACTTTAAAAAGGACTGGTAATTGAGCAATGAAAACTAACTGTAACTCGACAATACTGTAGAAGAATTTCCTGTTACACACACTTATTAGTTAAATAATTCATCTGGCAATTCTTTCGACCGACTGAAATACAATTGCCATAGGTGTATCCAGTTCAATTATTTCTAGAATGTTTATTCATTGTCATTCCTCAAGGCATCACGAAACCAAAATCCCGACCCCAACACTTGCTTTAGTATTAAAATGGTACTGAGCTTAGAGATCATATTACCTCCTAAATCTTTATCCGGAGCCATCAATATTTTCCATCATTTTAGCATTGATTTTTCAACAATTCATACTTCTTAAGTTATCAATGACTAATTTTTTACATTTCTTCATGACTAACAATGTAATTCAGAATTTTCGTCTTTTTAAACTGATTTATAATCATTCACAGTTATTTTGACTCAGTTTTACGCTAAAATAGTATCATAATGGAAATGTAGCATAAGTTATTTTTTAACCATAACTACGAACTAGCAACGGCATGCAACTGCCTAAGCTCCTCTGGGGGTAAGTAAGTAAGTAAGTTATTTTGTCTGATAAGCTCCAAAATTGGAGAGATTTGACTTGACTCGTACTAGTGTTTTGTTTTTAATAAAAAAAAAACTGAATAATTTAGTTTTGCAACCAGTAAAAATGGTAAATTTTATACTTATCTATATTACTGGAGCAGTGAACTGTGGAAAGTATATGGATTGGTTGTGGTTGCTTATTTTCGTCATATTAAAATAGTTCAAAAATATAGTCCTGACTGAATACACCAGTAATCCTAGACATTTTAGACGGAACATAGTCCAAGTAGGATTCATCGTAGCTTTCGAAACAGTTTCTGCCTAAAAATTTTCACTGACTTCCGTATTAAAACCAAATTAAAGGAATCTGAATGTAACCTAGTTGTTCACGGAAGGACAGAGATAGTCAACCTTCATAAGTACATGAATGCATCTTTATTTGTACACTACTCGGTACGTTATATCCGACAGAAGTATTAGGTGGAACATCTTGTAAAGAAAGTTTATAGCATAATGTACACGAGTCACAAAATATAATTTTTCAAATAAAGTTAAAGTAAGTCATTAGGTTCACTGAAGGTTTCGAAAACATCCAAGTGGTCTTCTAACTTCGAATTTCATCCCTAATAGTTAAATTATTTTCTTGGAAAACGTCCGGTCAAGAGTCTGTGAGCGAATCCAGTACCAGATTGACTATGCTCTCCACTAAATGTTCCATGATATCCCGTCATGATTGAGAGAAAAATAAATCCATATTCCAAGTTTTTATTAAAGGAGAACGTTGCCATTACATGGGCAGCAGCAAACAGAGAAAAATGGCAGCAACGCGAAGAGGACGTTGCGCGCAAGAAGTAGTAGAAGTGTTTTTGGTCCAGTTAAACAAAACGAGTACAATAATGTTTATTTTTCACAAATCGTATTTTGTTCGTAGAAGCGTTCCACTACAAGTCGCCCTAAAGAAACTTCTATTATTAGGTAAGCCCGATTTTGCTCTCCTGGGGGGTAACGAATCTGCAAAATGTGAACTACAGGAGACTTAGGTGGATTTGACCATTAATTTCCACAGTTTTCATTGCCTTTATTCACTATGATGGATTAGCCCTTGGATTTTTTTACTAAAGTATGCCATAGATAAACCTTTTTACAGCAGAAAAACTGAGTGAGTCTAATAATTAGAATATATATGTTGTGAAGTCGTTTACTGGGACTTAAAGTCAAATGTTTGATCCTACAGAAGCTAACAGTGTTATTTACAGACATTCATTCATAGAAATTGTCACCTGCACGACAGTAATAAATCATATTCACACTACGTCGAGTGACAACGCTCAATTGCTCAAGGTTGCACAAGGAGGTCCATTTATCTCCTACGTTACATCAACATAATGACTGGCGAGTCAAATGTTGCAAATGTTGTCAAGAAGAAAATTAAAGAGATGCAGACTGAATTGGAAAAGTTACAGTTTGATGTTTCTACAGAAGATGAAACGCTGATGCAAGAAACAGCTTTACGTGAAAAGGTATAAGTGGTAACTTTAAAGATGCGATAAATCATTACTGACACGACTGCAGTGCGCCTTAGCTTTTTACGCATAGTTTTTACGTCTTATAGTAACTTTTCGCATTCAGAATACCGTAGAGCGGTAAAGTTCACATAGTTGCCGTAAATTATATATTTTACAGTTCATAATGTATTTCTAAAACACGTGGTCACAATATGTCGCTTACTCATTATCGTTTGTTCAACTGTTTTGTTAAATTTGTAAGTCGTTTGGCACTTAAATTGACATGAAAAACTTTACATGTTTTGGGTTTCTTGTGCAGAAGAATGATAAACGCACTAAAATATAACTTACTTAAATCATGACCTATATTTAGTGCAGAATGCTACATGCCAGTATTTTCATAGACATGAGTACATAACAGCTTCATCCCTTATATGTATTCGTCGATCTTTAATCAAAGTTTGTTAGTAAATATCTCAGATCGTTTGTTGGTTTGATGCATTATGTTTTAGCTGTTTTACACCAGATATAATGCCACATGGTGCATATCATACTCAACTCTATATTTTTATTCTAGGCTGAAGCGGAAGTAGCAGCAATGACTCGTAGAATTCGTTTGTTAGAGGAAGATCTCGAAGTCTCTTCAAGTCGTCTTACTGAAACATTGACCAAGTTAGAAGAAGCAAGTAAAACCGCTGAGGAAAGTGAACGGTAAGTGTTCGTGACAGGTATTCGTACTTGTCTACCTTTTTTGCACGTCTAATTTCAATCTTTTGCATGCATGCATGCAGTGCCTGGCGTCAAGTTCAAAATAAAATGGATACATATGACAAGAAGGTAGAGCAGCTACAGAAAGCCGTAGAAGATGCAACGGAGGCTGCTAAAGAAACTGATAAAAAATATAGAGAGGTAGACATTTTATAAGATTTGTTAGGTTTTTAAATTCTTGTTTATTAATTTCATAAACTTTCTTTAATTTAATGACCTGCACATAGTGGACGAAAAGATCTTGAAATTCGTTCGATTGCTGATGACGAGCGACTTAACCAATTGGAGGATCAGCAAAAAGAAGCTAAGTATATTGCTGAAGATGCTGACCGTAAATATGACGAGGTGAGTCGTAGATATTTTATAAAGGATCTATTCTTTGTATTGTATAGATAACCAGCTATAAATTCTAAACGTTTTTCACTGATATTTGAAACTGGACCTTAAAATTGTTTCGAAATCTTTTAATAATTTTGAGTGAAAAGACTGATGTACTTACGTACCAAGTTCTACGTTGCATCTGACTGACTGACTGACTCAAAAGACTAATAGTAGTACATCATCTTTGATAGGCTAATTTCTAATAAACCCTGATTATACTATAAATTTGTCTGTCAGCCAGTACCATCCATAGAACTGGTGAAGCATCTGGCAAGCTGTTAAAAGGCCTTAAGAGATAATGAATGCGCATAAATTACTGATATTCGGTCAAAAATGTCTCATTATTGCTTTAGCCATAGTAAGACAACCTATTAAATAATGTTGTTTTAAAGTGTTAGGTTATAGGTAAAGAAAGCTGGTTGTATTATGCACCAACATGCCAACTGATCATGATCCATGACTCAAGATGCTGTCTGAATTTGTTACAGTTCAGATCAGAAAAATTCCACCTGTCTACGAAGTAACTAACTTTCATGTAGGGAGATACATACGTCTTGATTAAGATGCAGTCAGTCAGCCACGACATAGAACGTCGTACGTACAGACATTAGTTCAAATTGCCATACCAAATTAGTACACTGAGATGAAATTGTCAATTCAAATCCCATAGTAGTAGAGGTAGGAGAATTATCAATGATCGAAAATATTAAGAATGAAATCACTGCAAACAATTTTGAGCCATATCATTCAAAGTCTAACCACCAGTTAAGATAGTCTCGCAGACTTCAACCAGGTAGTCTAAAGTGACTAACATAGCTCAGTCAAGCAGTCGGTGACTTCATGGATTTGTACGGTGTTTTGATCTGACCGCCCACAGCTTTCTTCCAACTTACCCCTACATCGGAGAGTATAGCACATTGAGGCAGTCCGTGGTTGGAAATTCGTAACACATGTCCCAACCACCTCAACTAATAAAGTTTTAATACTCCATCTATTGACCTGCTATCCTTACTTGGTGCTCATTTCCTAACAACTCTATTGCATACTCGGTGGTCCCAGGACATACGAGCAATGCTTTGAAGACACCTATGATAGGATTCTAGTAACTTACGAATACCCTGAACGCTTACTGACTAAAATTTGCATCCATAAAGTAGGACAGAGCGAACTGCCGCGAAGCAGACTCGTCCTTTAGTTAGCAAACGGATATCTCGTCTATGCCATAAGTGACACAAGTTGGCGAGAGCCAGTTAGGCCTTCTGTATCCATGCTGAGATTTCGTCAGCCACCACGATGTTGTCTACGAAATAAAGACAACATAAAGCAAATTTCTGGCGCTTAAACTGGTCTGGTGATTGCGGAAGATCCGCTTAGGAGTGTTGAAAAGCCCTGAATCCAAGCCAAAGATGTACATATGGGCTTTAGGATCCTGATGTAGCAAATGGCGTACGGACCTATTCTCGGTTACCAGCTTTTAGTTATCTTTTTTATTTCAACACAGAAACATTAGTCTAAAGATGCAGCAAAATATAGATGTACTGCACAAATTACTAAATTTTTTGGTAGGCTGAGATACTTTCGCGGGTATTCTCCTTGAGTCTTTGACCCTATTGTCTAATCCACAAGGCAGTGGAACGACGTTATGAAATACAATCTCATGATAGCCGACAACAAACAAATATTTTTTTTATGAGTAAGTATTAGAAAGTAGAATCCACTTTTAAGCTCTTTTCACTCCTCTATGTTTTGTCGTCGATCAGAAAAGGGTGACTGGTGACTGACGAAATCTCAGCACGGATACAGAAAGCTCGATTGGCTTTTGCCAACCTGCGTCACTTATGACATAGGCGTGATATCCGTTCGCTAACCAAAGGACGGGTGTACTGCGCAGCAGTTCGCTCCGTTCTCCTATATGGCTGTGAAACATGGCCATTAAGAGTAGAAGATGTTCGTAGGTTACTAGTATTCGATCATAGATGTTTAAGAAGCATTGCTCGTATACCGTCGGACACCCGAGTGAGCAATGCTGTCGTTAGGAAACGAGTACTAGGTAAGGATAGCAGATCAATAGATGAAGTAGTGACACTTCATCAGTTGAGGTGGTTGGGACATGTCTTGCGTATGCCCAACCACCGACTGCCTCGACGAGCCTTGTTTTGTAGTGTAGGAGTAGGTTGGAAGAAAGTGAGGGGCGGCCAGACCAAAACATGGCAGAAATCCATGAAGTCACTGACAAGTGGACTGAGTCATGTTGGTAGATGTAGACTACCTGGTTGGGGTCCGCGAGACGAAAGTCACCAATGGTTATAAACGTTGAACGACATGGTTCATAATCGTTTGCAACGGCGCAAGTGCATCCATTCGTTGTTTTGCTCTCTCAAATCCTTATCTTCTGGATTCGTCAGCACCTCTACCTTTGTCTTTCTAACCTTATCTCACCTAATTATACTTCTTGAATAATATCTTCGAACCCTAGTCTTCTTCATTACCATTAATACCTCTACTATCTTTATCACTATGGGATTTGATTTGACATTTGCGTCTCTGTGCTAATAATGTGGTATGGCAACCTGAACTTATGTACATACGTACGAAGTTGTAAGTTGCAACTGACTGAGAAAAGGGTCCTTATTCGGACCTCAAGGACTTCATTTTCATTATGGTTAAATTGTTGTCATTCTTCAATGTTCGGACCACAAAATTTACAAACAAATTATTTAGACCGTAGTTTGGCTCCCAACCATATGTGTTTCGTAATCACTTATGTGAATTAATATTATTTAGTATCATTAAAATCCTCACTTACTTACACCTGTCACGACCAATGGAGCATAGTTGGCGTACTAGCATTCTCTAGCCTACTCTGTTCTGGGTCTTCCTTTCTAGTTCTGTGATTGGTACCGTACATTTACATTTGTTTCAGTCAGTCAGATGCAACGTAGAACTTCGTACGTAAGTACATCAGTTCATGTCGCCATACCACATCAGCACAGAGATGTAATTGTCGATTCAAATCCAATAGTAGAAGAGGTAGTAAAGGTATTAGAAGTAATCGGAGAGGTTAGGATTAGAAGATACTATTCAAGAAGTATAATTCAATGACAAAAGTTTAGAAAGTCAAAACTAGAGGTGTTGAAGAAGCCAAAAGATTAGGATTTGAGAGAACACAGAGAATAAATGCACTGGCGACACTGCAAACGATGTTGAGCCATGTCATTCAAGGTCTCTAACCATCGATTATTATCATCTCGCGGACCCCAACCAGGTAGTAATCGACAATTACCGACATGGCTAAGTCCACTTATCAGTGACTTCGTGGGTTTGTGCCATGTTTTGGTTTGGCCGCCCCTAACTTAATTCCAACCTATTCCTACACTACAAAACAGAGCTCGACGAGGCATTCGGTGGTTGGGCATACGGAACAAATGTCCCAACTACCTCAACTGATGAAGTTTCATTACTTCATCTATTGACATGCCATTCTTACCTAGCACCCGATTTGTAATAACAGCGTTGCTCACTTAGGTGTCCCACGATATACGAGCAATGCTTCGAAGACACCTATGATTGAAAACCAGTAACCTACGATATTTATTTGTTATGATATTTATTTTTTCACTGCAATTACAAACACTATTTTTCCCTATTCTTTCTTTCAGGCTGCACGTAAATTAGCTATTGCAGAAGTTGATTTTGAACGTGCTGAAGCTCGTCTAGAAGCTGCAGAAAGGTAGCCAAGGATATACATATATATATATATATGTATTCACCGCAAGCAAAACAACGTATTTCGTGCATCGTCCATTATGTTGCATGGTTCATTTAGTTTATTTAAATTAATCTCATCTCATTCTTTCTTGAAATTCTCATTATTATTTATTTGCGTTATGAATTGATAAGTGCATGTATTTCTTTTGTTTTGTCTCCCACTTTGTTACTCTACTCTGTGTACTATTTTGTGATAACTGCCTGCGACATTGTCCAAATTACCTGAAGATCTCTTGTGCTCTAACGTTAACTGAGAAGAATTTAGCTGAAGCTGAAACGCGTATGGCTAAGTCGGAAGAGTAAGTTTTGTTTGCTTAATTGTTTGATAATCTGTTTTAAGTGTTTACTTGGTTCTTTTTCTGAGTTAAATTACATGAGATTATTGTTCTTTGAGGTCATCCGTGCCAGGAAAATAGTAAAACAACAAACCATGTCTAAGCGTATGCCTAACCACCGACTGCCTCGTTGAACTTTGTTTCGTAGTGAAGGAGAAGGTTGGAAGAAAGTTAGGGGCGGTCAAACCAAAACATGGCAGAAATCTATGAAGTCATTGACAAGTGGACTTAGCCATGTCGGTAATTGTCGACTACCTGGTCGGGGTCCGCGAGATGATAATAATCGATGGTTAGAGACGCTGAATGACATGGCTCAAAATCGTTCGCAATGGCGCCGGTGCATTTATTCTCTGTGTTCTCTCAAATCCTAATCTTCTGGATTCTTCAACACCTCTAGTTTTGACTTTCTAAACTTTTCTCATTTAATCATACTTCTTGAATAATATCTTCTAATCCTAACCTCTTTGATTACTTCTTGTACCTTTACTACCTCTTCTACTATTGGATTTGAATCGACAATTATATCTGTGTGCTGATGTGGTATGGCGACATGAACTGATGTGCTTACGTACGAAGTTCTACGTTGCATCTGACTGGCTGACTGACATGTCCAAGCGAAAGGTAGTGCTATAGTTAAGTTCGTGGTTACAGACTTTGAGTGAGTGACATGACTCAAAATAGTTTACAACAATGCAGATGCATCCATTCTTTGTTTACTTACAATTTCTAAGCTTCAGAATTCCTCACAATCTCTCTTCTTTAATTTTTTTTCTCACTGAATTACATTTTCTCGAATTATATCTCCGATCCATAGTCTTTTCGATTACCATTAATACTGCTACAACCTCTCCTACTCTAGGATTTAAACTGACAGTTCTATTTCTGTGCTAATGTAGTATGATAACTTGAACTAATGTACGTACGTACGAAGTTGTACGTTACAGCTTACTAACTTATCATTTACAGTGTGAAGGTATTGCAAGTATACGTAACAAACTAACTTCGGTTATTGTACTCTGTGTGAATAATGATAAACCAGATCCTAGTTACATTATCATCAATATCAATAACTTAATTACTTTCTCCTGTTACCCCGCTGACTGGCCTTCTCCAACCTACTTTCTCCTGAGCCTTCTTTTGCAGTTGTGTCCTACTGTTGTCCATTCTTTTCATTTTTTGTCTCCATTCCTCGTCTTAGTGTCTTCCTTGACCTTCAGGATTCCAAGTGAGGGCTTGTCTTGCACTGCATTTGGGTGCTTTCTTCAATGTGTTTCCTATCCGATTCCCGCGCTGCTTCCTCTGTTGGAATCTGGCATGTTCTCTCCTACAATAGGTTGTTTGTGATGGTGTCTGGTCAGAGGATCCGAAGTATTTTGCGTAGACAACTGTTAATGAACACTTATATCTTCTGGATGATTGCTTTGGTGGTTCTCCAAGTTTCTGCATCATACAGTAGAACTATCTTGACATTTGTATTGGAAATTCTGACCTTGGTATTGGTTGATAGTTGTTCTGAGTTCCAGATGTTGTTCAGTTGTAGAAATGCAGTCCTTGCTTTCTTGATGCTTGCCTTCACATCTGCATCAGATCCACCTTGCTTGTAAATGATGTTGCCCAAATATGTAAAGGTTCTTACATCTTTCAAATCTTCATCATCAAGTGTGATTTGGTTGGCGCATGTTGTGTTGTAGAGGAGAATCTTGCTTTTCTCTTTGTTGTATGTTGAGACTTGCTGCTGTCGAGGCTGCTGCTGCACTGGTCGTCTTCTCCTGCATTTGTCGTTGCGTGTGCAACAGAATGGCTAGATCATCTACGAAGTGCACATCGTCCAGCTTCATCCAAGCTGTCCACTCTATCCCGTGCTTCGCCTCAGATGTTAACGTCTTCGTAATTCATTCGACCGCTAGGAGAAAGAGAAAGGGTAAGATTAGGCCACCTTGCATGATACCAGTCTTTACTTCTAACGAGTCTGTGTGAGCTGTCCACCATGCACGATCTCGCAGTTTAATCCATTATAAGAGTTCTGTATGATAGTGACTACCTTCTCAGGCACGCCATAGTGTTGAAGAAGCTTCCTTAGTATTGTCCTATCCACGTTGTCAAATGCTTATCAACATCAATAATGTTGTTCAAAGACACCATTAATTTACATTGAAGACTAATTTATCCTAGAACATATTAACACTTCATTTCTATTTTCTACTCATTAAAAATTTATTTCATTCCTGTGTAGACTTGTTGCTGAATTGGAGAATACTCTGAAAGGTTTGGCAAGTAAATGGAAATCAATGGAGATTAAAAAAGAACAGGTGCGTATATACATTGATTGTTTTCATGTTGTTTAATTGTTATTATTTACGTAGCCTATTTTGTTAGTATTTTACCGTTGTTAGAATCTGACATTATATTATTTATATGTACAAGCTTTTTTTCAATTAGAGTTATGGAGATTAGTGTTCTTACATGTTGAAATCATCAATCAATCATTGTTGTTAGACCACCATTAGAAGAAGCCTGGAAGCACTGGACAGCCGTTTCGTCCTGGTATGGGACTCACCAGTGGCAGTGCGCATCCACGACTCCTTCTCCTCGCAGGATTCGAACCCGGGACCTTTGGCATTGTAGGCGAACGCCTTACCATCGGACCACTGGCCCGGCATCCAACGGTGTTAATGTCTAACTCCAGTTGATCTAAGGATTTTGCGCTACCTCACCCATCGGTCTTTGGTAGTTGCTGCCTACACCCGACAGGGTTAAACTCCAACTCCACTGGTCACGTCTTCTCAACTACAACTCCGTGAATTTCCTCACAAAGCTAGTCACTAGTGAGCAAGCACTGTTACGATATTTTGGGGCACAGTTTTGGAGGTTTGCGTTTTTACACATTTGAAGCCATCAATCAATCATTGTTAGACCACCATTAGAAGAAGCCTGGAAGCACTGGACAGCTGTTTCGTCCTGGTATGGGACTCATCAGTGGCAGTGCGCATCCACGACTCCTGCAGATCGCAGGATCTGAACACAGAACCACCGGTCTTGAGCGTGAACGCTTAACCTCTGAACTTGTAGCAGCTATCTGTAATGATAGTGAACGTCAACTTCAGAACATGACTGAGTTATTAATGAATTATTTTGAAATAAAGATTATTGATTATTGTCGCGTAGTTGAATTGGTTTATATGTGAAAAAATATATATATGTATATATTTATCTACAGTATTTGAAATGACATGGTTCATACAGAAGAAATATGCATCTATTATAGTTAGTTAGATAATACTTTTCACAAATATAATTCACAGATTTTACCAATTAAAGAATTATCTGTATTCTAAATGCAAATTGTAAATTTTACCAGTTCGTTTTGTTCGAATCAAATTTCTTTCAATTCATTTATGTCAACATATTTAATTTGAGAGTGGGTGGTAGGCCTACTGTCTGGCTACTCAAACTGAAGTAGGTAGTTAGTTGTCTTAGAGGGTCACTTTCTAAGCCTTTGATAAAAAGGTTTAATCCACAGGGTAGTGAATCAACTTTAGACGATTCAATCGCATTGGTCGCCAGTGACCAGCAGTAAGTTTACTTACACACCATTTGCTCCTTCAGGACCCTTGGTGTAGAAGAATCAAGGCTTTTCCAAATCTCTTGCATAGATCTCTCGTACTTACGGTACTTAACGGAACATCCAATTTTCGTTCTTCTCTGAATTTCGTAAGCAACACCTATGCTACGAAAATGCAGTGAGTAATACTTCCCTATCGATGGCCAATATACAGACGTGGCCATATGAAAAGTTTGACTACTTACCCCTATTACGTCTAATGGAGCATAGGCAGCCGACTAGTGAGTTATTTTTTTTTGCTGTTCGTCGCCATTTTTCAACGAGTTGAATCTATACGGTATGAGGTCACTAACACCACCCCCTAAGCCCCCCAACCCTCCTCCTTTATCATGAGCCTGGGACCGGTAATAACCACCGATGAAGCGCTCCAGGCATGATACGAAAAAAGAAACATCATTTACCGCGATCTGTGTTTGCATATCATAATACAACCATTTTGTTTTCTGTTTACAAATAGTTATGCATTACGGGGTTGTAAAGATTGTTAAGTTAAACATTTTTGAAACCATGAATCAATCAATGTTAGACCACCATTAGAAATCTGGAAGCACTGGACGGCCGTTTCGTTCTGGTATGGGACTCATCAGCAGTGCATGCATCCACGACTCCTGCAACCTGCGATAATTGACTTGAGAAGCGGTAAAATGGTCACAAAGTACGGTTCATTGCCAATACACGAAAGTAGTGAAGTGGCTGAAATAAGGATGACAACGGACGTCTCGACCAAGAAACCAAACATTAACGAGTTATGCGCAAAGTATGCGAAACTGTTCACTGGAGATGGGGACCGGTATAGATTTTGTGACAAAGTAAAGCATGAAATTCCTATAAAGAACGACCAGGGTTCCTGTTTTGAAAGACTACTACGACAGCTTATTAAAAGGGGGGACGAGTGTGGTGTGAGCTACTTATAAGTAGTATATGACGTCAGTGTCAACGTAATGTCTGGCAGCAGAAGAGGATGGGGGAAGATCAAGAAAGGAAGAGTTAGAAAACAATGGAATTTGTATGAAACGCATGAATAGTGAGATGTCAGAAAATAGATTGATGTTTTGCAACAGGAACAGTCTAGTTCGATATGATGAACTGATATCTTGCAAATGAACAAACGATTTACGATATGGTTTTCTGATTTTACTGAGTAACTCTGTAATTTCGCTAAATACAATTCGGTTGCCCCACCTGTTCTCAGCAGTGCGCATCCACGACTCCTGCACCTTGCACGAGGAGTCCCATACCAGGACGAAACGGCCGTCTCTCACCACCTAATGGTGGTGGTGTAACATTGATCGATTCATGGTTTCACAAATAGTTTTACGTTTTAATTATTTTTCCCACTTTTATTTTATTATTATTATTATTGTTATTATTATTATTATTACTTTCAGGCAATACAACCGTTTTCGTTCATTTTCCTTTCATTTCCCCCCCCCCTTTAGATTAACTTCTTTGTTTTTTATTCTCCAAATACATTTTATTTGAACCCCTAAGCGCGCTTGCCCTTTGAACTGCTGTTTGTTTGTTTGTTGTGAATTATGAAAGTGTGTGTGTGCGTGTGTGTGTCTGTCTATCTGTGACAATGAAGTATGCTTTGTCTTAGTGCATGATGATCACTGAACTGTGAGTACTGATACACATATACATACATCTGTATGCATATTTATATATATATATAGTACATACAACATGTTGTATACTCTCTCTTGTTGCATTAGTGCATCTTGTTCAAATCATCAAGTTGAGTGAGACAGTGAGAGAGAGATGCTGAACTAATATTAATCATCATTAATTATTTATATATCTCTCTCTTTCAAATTTAAGCAAAATAGTAGAATTGGAAGAAGAACTACGAGTTGTTGGTAATAATATGAAAGCTCTTGAAATTTCCGAACAAGAGGTAATTTTTTTACAACACTCGACCAATATTTACTTACTTACTTACTTACTTACGCCTGTTACCCCCAATGGAGCATAGGCCGCCCACCAGTTTCCTCCAACCAACTCTGTCCTGAGCTTCCCTCTACAGTTCTGTCCAATGTTTGTTCATTTCTCTCATATATTTCTGTATTTCTCGGCGTAATGTGTTCCTTGGCCTTCCTCTTTTCCTTTTACCTTGAGTATTCCATGTGAGGGCTCGTCTCGTGACGCAGTTAGGTGCTTTCCGCAATGTGTGTCCTATCCACTTCCACCGCTTCTTCTTGATTTCCTCCTCCATTGGAACCTGGTTTGTTCTCTCCCACAGTAGGTTGTTGCTGATGGTGTCTGGCCAACGAATACGAAGTATTTTGCGTAGACAACTGTTAATAAACACTTGTATCTTGTGGATGATGCCTTTCGTAGTTCTCCATGTTTCCGCTCCATACAATAGAACTGTCTCGACATTTGTATTGATTTTGGTTTTTAGGTTGAAAGTTGTTTGGAGTTCCAGATATTTTTCAACTTGTTTTAAAGAAAAAAACAAACTTTGACATATTTTGGAAATAACTAAAAGGGGGTAAAATGTTAGTTAATTAAGTTTATTTTATTTTCAACCTGAACAACAATAATTGAATGATGCAATCTTGTTTTATGTGCTCTAGATATGATTTTGTAGGTTATTTGATTTTCGTTGAATTGTAACCTACGTACGTACGTTCATCAGTTAAGGTTATCATATCGCATTAGCACAGAGACGCCCCCCCACTGTCAGTTAAAATCTTATAGTGGTAGAGATAGTAGCAGTATTAGCAGTGATAGAGAAGATAAGGTTAGAAGGAGAAAGATAGAGATGATAATAACTTCAGAAGGTCAGATTTCGAGAGAACACAAAGAATGAATGCACCGGCTCCATTGCAAACGATTTTGAGCCATGTCGTTCTATGTCTCTAACCATCGGTGACTTTCGTCTTGCAGACCCCAACTAGGTAGTCGACAACTACCGACATGACTCAGTTCACTTGTCAGTGACTTTATGTATTTGTACCATGTTTTGGTTTGGCCGCCCCTAAATTTCTTCCAACCTACTCCTATACCACAAAACATAGCCCGTCGAGGCAGTCAGTGGTTGGGCATTCATAGCACATGTCCCAACCACCTGAACTGAGGAAGTTTCATTACTTGATCAACTGATCTGCCATCCTTACCTAGTACTCGTTTCCTAACGATAGCATTGCTTACTCGGTTGTCCCAGGATATACGAGCAATGCTTCGAAGACACCTATGATCGAAAACCAGTAACCTACGAATATCTTCTACTCTTACTGGCCATGTTTCACAGCCATAAAGTAAGACGGAGCGAACTACTGCACAGTACACTCGTCCTTTAGTCAGCAAACGGATATCTCGCTTGGCAAAAGCTAATCGAGCCTTCTGTATCCGAGCTGAGATTTCGTCAGTCACCAGACCATCAACACTGATCAGACATAGCATATATATATATATATATATATATATATATATATATATATATATATATCGCTTAATTCTAAGTAGAATTAATTATGATCATCATACCAATGACAAAGCTTATTGATTTTCACTGTATTAGTCAATCTGGATTGATAGCTTAATAGTTGAAGCAGTTAGCTTTCAACCAGTATACTACAAGTTCTACCGGACTGTCAGTCTCGAACAAGGTGTTTTGGAGTTCTACCTACCTGCTAACTGTCAAAGTTCGATGTGTTAACCGTTATATAATTCTACACAGAGCCACTTATTAATTTCATTTTGAATGCATTCTCAGTATTATCAAGCAAAATTATATCATCTGGTGTTTAAGGTGTGTAAGCAGTTATCACTTTCGTTTTCCATGCCTTTAGAGGATACTTCTCCTCAAGGTGCCTGCAAACAGAACTGAATCGATAGTGGTCTTAGCTCTTTTTTAATGTGTAACCACAGAGCCTAATAGACAACTGCTTGAGGCCGATCACATATGGCCCTCTTGCGAGTAGTTCTCGATGTCTTAGCTCCATACATTAAAAGTATTACCGCTTTTAACTGAAATTCATTGGTTACTTTGAGGTATACTATTTGTAAACCCAAACTCCAGTATCATCACTGCAGATTCCAGCTGACTAACAAAATCATATTCCTGCCGTCACACAGTACATTTCCACTACCGCTTACATATGAACAGAGTATGGCATAAGACAAAGTACCTGATGCTATTACTTGGTGAATAAGTTATATAAAATCAATTGATAACTATACTTGCACATTAAAACGTTGCAGATGACATAGTTCTGTTTGGTGAAGACGCTGACAAAATGCAGAGTCTTCTGACCACCTTGAGCAACAATACAATGTTTGCCTCCATTATACTTAGACGCCTTACTAGTGCTCGTGAAGAGCAGACTAGAGAAAACCAGGCTGGTTTCAGACCTGGACGTGGTTGTATAGACCACATCTTCACACTACGACAGGTCCTGGAACACAGACACACATTTAGGCGTCCTACAATAGTTGTTTTCCTGGACCTTAAGGCGGCATTTGATTCTGTGGATCGTAAGGTTCTGTGGCAGTGTCTGTCATTGAAAGGTGTACCAAAGAAGTACATTAACCTTATACAAGCTCTCTACTCTAACACCACTGGTCGAGTGAGAGCTTACGGCGAACTGTCACCGGAATTCTTCACTTCAAGTGGTGTCCGTCAAGGATGTCCACTCTCTCCATTCTTGTTTAACTTTGTCGTAAACATCCTCTTAGAGTTAACATTAAGCTCGTCAGATTTTTCAGGAGTAGACCTTTTACCAGGTGGCTCGCTTATTGACTTAGAATATGCCGATGACATTGTGCTACTTGGTGAAGACGCTGACAAAATGCAGTCTTCTGACCACCCTGAGCAACAATGCAAGCATGTTCGGGATGCGGTTCTCACCCTCGAAATGCAAAATGTTGCTTCAAGATTGGGTTGCATCGGCACCTGAACTAGTGATAGGAAGTGAAGTAATCGAGAATGTTGACCGCTTCACTTATCTTGAGAGTCTCATCAGTGCTGATGTCCTGGTGACTGACGAAATCTCAGCACGGGTGCAGAAGGAAGTTGGAATTTTTAATCACAACCTGGCATCACTTGAAAAATGTCGATTAGTTCGTTCATAAATTATGATCGCACACCTTGTTGTTTTACTTTTTTTCTAAGTGTTTTTCTTTTTTAACGCATTTATTTCGCCAACACAACTTACTCTTCTCTGTAACAATCTCTAGTCAGCTCAACGTGAAGAAAGCTATGAAGAGACTATCCGAGATTTAACAGAACGATTAAAGGCTGTAAGGCTTGTGTTAATTTAATGTGACTGTGTGCCTGCTTGGTGTGATGTTGATGAATGTTAGTGATTTGGCATGTAGTCTTGTGTGACTTGGTTGTGCATGTGTGTTTGTTTATACATGCCTTGTTTACTGCACACACACACACATTGTAGTGTAGTGTATAATCGATTTTTTTACTTTGGAACAATTTTGTTCCACTTATTTAGCACAATGAACAATGACCTTGATGCTACTAAACTGACCTTTATATAACTTCCTGTTTGTTTTACTCTGAATATATTTTTTTGTCATAAGTACAAGCAAGCACATATTTATTTGTACATGAACGAACTTAGTCTGCTTTTGTTGAGGCGAGGGGGGGGTAGGCGGTTTTGCATACTGATTAAAAAAAAAATTCCTCTTGGGCATGTAGCGCAATTGTAACCTTGACTTATACTCTTCATTTGATTAGTAAACATGTAAAACGTACATTTACTACAACAAATCATTATGAATTATGATTTAATGATTACTTTATCATTTATCTGTTATTTGAAAATTTCTCTCTATTTTCTTTATATTGGTACCAATATACACTACTTACATACGTACATACAAAATTGGTCTTGTCATTCATTACAACAACCACAATAAAACTGCATGCATTGGAAATATGCCTGGATTGATTGATCGATTGTGCATGGTGTGCGTATATTATTCTAGTCGGCTGAGATTGAAAAAGATTTGGAAGAACGTTTAACCGTTTTAACTCATCATGTTAAAGAGGTGAGTTGATTGATTGATTGACAACTAGCCACACAATCAATGAAAACTCATTATTAACTCAGACGATGGATGATTTGGCTTGAATAAAAATGACACACATTAAATAAACCTTTTTTTCTTCATAGCTTCCTTCCACCAATATTATACACTGGATTCTGTTGATTGAAGGGAAAACACAAAGGCGGTTGTTTATTTTCACGTCTTGTAGTTATTGTCTGTTGTGAGTTATGAGGATAAAGAGTTCCGTGCTTACTTACTTACGCTTGTTACCCCCCAGATGAAAGCATAGGTCGCTGACAAACATTCTTTAACCTGTTCTCTCAAATCCTAATCCTCTGGATTCTTAAACACCTCTAGTTTTGACTTTCTAAACTTTTCTCACTGAATCATACTTCTTGAATAATATCTTCTCATCCTAACCTCTCCGATTACTCCTAATACCTTTACTACCTCTTCTACTATTGGATTTGAATTGACAATTATATCTCTGTACTGATGTGGTATGGCGACATGAACTGATGTACTTACGTACGAAGTTCTATGTTGCATCTGACTGACTGACTGAACCTACTCTGTCTTGGGCCTTCCTTTCTAGTTGTGTTCAATTGTTTGTTGATCATTCTTTTCATGGCTACTTCCAGTTCTTGGTGTAATGTGTGCTTTGGTCTTCTTCTTCTTCAGCTCCTTTGACCTTGATGGGGGTGCCAAGTGATGGCTTGACTTGTTTGTGATGCCCTCAATTCTGTGTTCTGTCCACCTGGAGCACTTTTTCCTGGTTTCTTCCTCTACTGGAATCTAGCATTTTTTCTCTCCCCATACTAGGTTGTTGCTGATTGATGGTGTCTTTTCATTTGCCATTATTAATACTATTCAGTAGTCGTCAGTCAGCTACAACGTAGAACTTATTACATACGTACGTGTTATTTCAAGTGTGTCATACCACATTAACACTAACCGATGAAATTGTTAGGTCGAATTCCAGAATTGTAGAGGGAAGACAAAGAATGGATGCACCTGTTATCGACACCTGTCAAATGTAATTACTTTCGGTTCCTAGATTGTAGCTAAGGTGTCAGTCAGTATCAGTGCTAAAACTGGACTGGCATCCTTAAAAATTTGATGGATTAACCCATGAAAACTTGCTACTTTTATTTGCCTTGGGTTTCCTGTAGCCTCTTCAGCCTGATTAAGAGAGTTTGAGGACTGACATCAGTATGCCATTCAGATTGACTGGAGATCGTGAATAACTGAAGTATGACTGAAGGCTAGTTGCACTGTTCTCTAAAATTGTTCTGCCCTTCGACCCAGTCTCTTGGATTGAGAATGAATAAATAATATCAGTCAGTCAGATGCAACGTAGAACTTCGTACGTAAGTACATCAGTTCATGTCGCCATACCACATCAACACAGAGATATAATTGTCAATTCAAATACAATAGTAGAAGAGGCAGTAAAGGTATTAGAAGTAATCGGAGAGGTTAGGATTAGAAGATATTATTCATGAAGTATGATTAAATGAGATAAGTTTAGAAAGTAAAAACTAGAGGTGTTGAAGAATCCAGAAGATTAGGATTTGAGAGAACACAGAGAATAAATGCACCGGCGCCATTGCGAACGATTTTGAGCCATGTCCTTCAAGGTCTCTAGCCATCGATTATTATCATCTCGCGGACCCCAACCAGGTAGTCGACAATTACCGACATGGCTAAGTCCACTAGTCAATGACTTCATGGATTTCTGCCATGTTTTGGTCTGGCCGCCCCTAACTTTCTTCCAACCTATTCCTACACTACAAAACAAAGCTCGACGAGGGAGTCGCTGGTTAGGCATACGCAACACATGTCCCAACCACCTCAACTGATAAAGTTTCACCACTTCATCGATTGGTCTGCCATTCTTACCTAGCACCCGATTCCTAATAACAGCGTTGCTCACTCGGTTGTCCCACGATATACGAGCAATGCTTCGAAGACATCTATGATCGAAAACCAATAACCGACGAGTATCTTCTACTCTCATTGGCCATGTTTCACAGCCATAAAGTAAGACGGAGCGAACCACTGCGCAGTACACTCGTCCTTTAGTCAGCAAACGGATATCTCGCCTACGCCATAAGTGACGCAGGTTGGCAAAAGCCAATCGAGCCTTCTGTATCCGTGCCGAGATTTCGTCAGTCACCAGGCCATCGGCACTGATGAGACTCCCGAGATAAGTGAAGCGGTCTACACGTTCGACCACTTCACTCCCTATCACTAGTTCAGATGCCGATGAAACCCAATCTTGAAGCAACATTTTGCATTTCGAGGGGGAAAACCGCATCCCGAACATGCCCATCCTTTTCCGAGATTATCTCACTGACAGTCGGATTCCTAATATCAGTTTCCTTAATAATTCTGAATAGTTGTCTACTGTTAATTATCGCCGCCGTGTTTTCCGTCTCTTTTCCGTCTTCGCTAGCCACCAGTATCTACGATCATTGTGTAAGCTTCACATAAGCTTATGTTCCGGCTGCCTTCACTCCTCATCGCGTTCAAATCCGGATGAATTGAGTTTCCGAGAGTCGTCTCTGAGATTCCACTGAAATCTACTAACTTCTCCTTAACTTTTAGCTTTAACCTACTGATTAGATATCATTGCTATGTCCACAGTCTTTTGGTTATTGTACTTTGACTACTCTGATATTTGCCTTAACGATTTAATTTTATGGTGGTGTTTCATTCTCTGAGCTGGATGTTTTGGTTGTGGAGCTTTCATTGTTCTTCAGATAAAAGTGAAGTTTGTGCTGATGATGTTGTTCAGCAGGCGAACAATGAAAGCTCCACAACCAAAACATCCAGCTCAGTGAACGATGAAACACCACCACAATCATCCACCTGAGCTACAAATTACCCCCCACCATCTCACGATGAAATACGTTAACTTGAACCGTTCTATATATTTGCCTAATTTACTGACTGAAAATCGTGCATGGAATAACTTGTATAAAACCAGTATCATTCTTCATGATGAACACTTAATAATCAAAGTGTCGACAGTTAATTCTTTGTTACAATCATCATATCCAGTCCGTCAGTCAGATGCAACGTAGAACTTTGTACATAAGTACATCAGTTCATGTTGCCATACCACATTATAAGCACAGAGAAGTAATCGTCAATTCAAATCCAATAGTAGAAGAGGTAGTAAGGGAATTAGAAGTAATCGGAGAGGTTAGGTTTAGAAGATACTATTCTTGAAGTATGACTCAGTGAGAAAAATCTAGAGAGTCGAAACTAGAGGGGTTGAAGAATCCAGAGGATTAGGATTTGAGAGAACATTGAGAATAAATGCACCGGCGCCATTGCAAACGATTTTCAGCCATGTCATTCAAGGTCTCTGATGATTTCCTTTTAATCATCATATCCACCATACTTGTTCTTCTTGATCGAAAGAATTTTAGCGGAAACAGATCACGCTGCTACTTTTTCTAGTAGCAGACTGGCCCATGAATGATAAACATTTCAGTTTTCTTTAGAAAAACTGATCTGAAATCGATTTACTACAATCCGTTTGATTTTCATTGCCGTTTAGTAGCAATAGGGAATCACAATCGTATTCGTTTACATGTCAAGAATAGAATTTGATTACTTTCCAACATAGAGAAAATTTACGATGCTCTATATAAAAATGTTGAATAATCTAAAACCAACAAACCAGTTTAATGGATTTATCAACAAGTCAAACTCCATCTCCTGTGGAATGTTAAGTTGAACTATTTTAGAAACACTATTTACAGAGTGAAGTCATTTGTATTTGTCTATGGATGTTTACAACTGGCGATTGATCAGTCAGTACCCCCCTTCTGGCATATGTGTGTGCATCCTACGCGCATCACCTTAATATGAACTCATGAACCCACAAGTATTATAAGCAGAGATGAAAAAGAGTAGCTATAAATGTAATCCTCCATCGTATTTGGAATTCATCTTTAACTGGATGTTACTGTCTCGCAGAATTAATGTTCACTATGGGGCTCGAACCCTGCACCATCCGCTTCTTAAGATGTACTTAATGATAAGTTCGTCACTTAGTATGCTTGAGGCTATTACGAGTTTACCTTAGTCGATAGACGCGAACGAGACAATAAACCAGCGTCCAGGTAGGCTACCTTGAATCCGAAGCTGAAGTGAAAAGGCTTTGTAAGCGTAGAAAGTATATTCTACAAACACCCAGCAATCACAGTACAATCAAGCATACAACTCTCTTTTATTTATACAACATAAGAACGTCCTTGAGACAGTTAAGAAAATAGCACAACAATCACAGCCATGGATTTTCCTGGTGGGAATTGAAATCTCAAGGTCAACTGATCAGCCCATGCTGGCAAAGAATTCGTATCGGGTTGTTCTATTTTGCATGTTTGTATGTTTTTTTTTTTTAAGTTTTAATTGGGAGAATTCACTATTTGCATGACATTATAGAGAAGAGCATCACCATTATTACTATAGTCGATTGTTAGTTAGTTAGTTAACTTAATTGTGAATGTGTGTTTTTTCGGGGCTGCATCGTGTTGCATTCTCTCTTGTACGGCCAAAAATAAATGGTCATTTAGATATAGATAAAAGGGCAAACTATAATTAAATTTTCATTCATCTAGGCTGAACAAAGAGCAACTGAAGCAGAACGTCAAGTATCTAAACTACAAAATGAGGTTGATCATTTGGAAGGTGGGAAGATCTACTTTTTTTTTGTATTTTGTTTTGTTCAAATGTCTGGATTGATATATTTATTGATAGAGTAGATTGTTTAAATGCATTTGGCATGTTGTTTAATCAAATACACACACTTCTCTTGTTTGCCTTTTTCTCTTTAATTTTCATGTCTGTTAATCATGTTGCTTGTGTTTGCGTTCCTCTCATTTGCCATGAATGAAATATTAATACTAATAATAATCATGCTAATCAGGCTGAATTTCGAGCGGATACTGCTGAAGCCGAAGTTAATCGACGTCTTATGGAAATAAAAAAGGCAAAAGGTGAGCAACATGTATAGATGTTTTGATTTTTTCTAAATGGTATGAATTGAGATTTTTTTTTCTCCTAGATATGATATGTTCATAATTGTAATCATTTTCAGTAGGAACGATTTGATTTCGAGCAATTTGGTCTTTCGTGTGCTGTGTACGGGTATGAGGGCGGTTATCACTTCCTGGCTGCCCACACTATGGAAGGGTGTTTCTTGAGGGATCTGAAAAGCAAGGTAGATTAGTGTTGGTCTTGGAGACCTGGGTGCGTGACCGCAGAGCCCAAAGGACAACTGCTTGAGGTCGATCACGCACGGCCTTTTGATGAGAAGTTTTTTTTATGAGGATTAGCTCCGTTCTTAAATGGCCCTTAGTGGGCAGCCCTTACCGCCGTAGACGGAAATACGTGAGGTAGGGTGAGGTGTGACATTTTTAGGGTCGACCTTTTCTAACCCTTCGTTCCTTGTGAGAAAGAAGGCAGCATCGCTGCAGATAATGGTTGTCTGAAGGAAACACGTTACTGCTGTCACACCACTCTTCAGTCAGTCAGCAGTACGACTTCGCCCTCAGACCTTGAGTAGCTGCTTTTAGTCTCCAATCGACCTGCCTGGCATAGTAGAACCTTCAGGAACATATGTCCCAGCCAATATAGCTCGATTGGGTCATGACGATAGGCAAGCCCGATCACCACGTCAAGGTAGCAGCTTCGGTCGGGTGTAATAATTTTCACTAAAGTAGTTGTAGAGAGTTGAGTTGAGTTACTTTGAAATCATGAATCAGCCAATGTTAGACCACCACCATTAGTAAATAACCTGGAACACTGGATAGACGTTTCGTCGTGCTATGGGACTCATCAGCAGTACTCATCTATGACTCCCTCTACTCGCAGAAAATCGAACCCAGGACCTACGGTCTTGCGTGCGAACGCGCCTAACCATTGAGCCCAGCATCCAGCGGTATTAATATTTATAGCTTCAATCAGTTCACTATCTTGCGCAACCTCATCCACTGTCTTCGGTGAGCGAGCACTGCTTCACACCCAAACAGGGTTGAACTCCACCAGTCACGCCTTCTCGCTAGCGGGAGCCGTGAATGAATGCACACTGCTGATGAGTCCCATACCAGTGCGAAACGGCCTTCTAGTACCTTCAGGTTTATAATGGTGCTCTAACAACCTTGATCGATTCATTATTATTTCAAAGTATTAGTTATTTTTTCTTGATCCTGTAAACTTCAATCCAATTATATACTTTTTAATCAATCAGTGGTGTTATGTGGTAGGTTTGTCAGTCAATGTTTGCATCATAGTTGACAGTTTTGAAATAAGTTCATGACACACACACACACACTATCCTAATATCGATCTTTATCAGTATTTTTTTCATTTTTCATAAGGTTTTTTGTATTTGTAACATTCTTGACCAAAATAATCAAAATACACTAACTATACTACTCTATTCAAAATTATTCTTAATTAGATAAATGTAACAATATTTAATTAATCAATCTCTTTGATCAATGTTCATTTAAGCCAAGTTACTTAATTATTTGTTTATATTCAGACAATTAATTGAGTAAGCCAACCAACACTAAACAGTAAAAGTAATTACACATTTGAAATCATCAATCAATCATTTGTTAGACCACCATTAGGAGAAACCTGGGAGCACTGAAAGATGACCGTTTCGTCCTGGTATGGGACTCATCAATGGCAATGCGCATCCACGACTCCTGCTCCTCGCAGGATTCGAACCCGGGACCTTTGGCATTGTAGGTGAACGCCTAACCATCGGACCACTTAGCCGGCATCCAACGATGTTAATGTCTAACTCTGATTGATCTAGGGATTTTGCGCTACCTCACCCATTGGTCTTTGGTAGTTACTGCTGCCTACACCCTAGACAGGTTTGAACTCCATTGGTCACCTCTTCTCAAAGTAATGCTAAACTACTATGTGTAAACAGGGTTAAAAATTTCAAGAACTATATTTCAACATGTGCTTAAACACATACATTGAACTTGAACAGATTCATGCTGCAGCACTTAATATTATTGAATTGTTTTATTTTTATTGTATGAAATGTTTTTTTTTAGAATTCGATCGCTAATAAGTTAAACTCTTAATTATCAGTTGAGGTGATTGGCCCATCTATTATGTACGCCTAACCCACTGACTACCTCGACGAGCGATGTTTTTTGATGTATGAGTAGGCTTGAAGAAAGCTTTGTGGTGGCCAGAACAAAACGTAGCAAAAATCCATGAACTCACTGACAAGTGGACTGAGCCATGTTGATAGGTATAGATTACCTGGTTGGGGTCCGCGAGCCGAAAGTCACCAATGGTTAGAGACCTTGAACGACATGGCTCAAAATCGTTTGCAATGGCGCAAGTGCATCCATTCTTTGAGCTCTCTCAAATCCTAATCTTCTGGATTCGTCAGCAGCTCTACCTTTGTCTTTCTAACCTTATCTCACTGAATTGTACTTCTTGAATAATATCTTCAAAGCCTAGTCTTCTCCATTACCAATAATACCTCTACTATCTCTACCACTATGGGACATGTGTTGCCTATGCCCAACCACCGACTGCCTCAACGAGCGATGTTTTGTGATGTATGAGTAGGTTGAAAGAAAGCTAGAGGTGGCCAAACCAAAACATGGCAGAAATTCATGAAGGTTGGTAAATGTAGACTACCTGGTTGAGGTTGGTGAGATGATAGTGACCGATGTTTAGAAACCTTGAATGACATGGCTCAGAATCGTTTGCAGTGGCTCAGGTGCATCCACTCTTTGTGTCCTCTCTAATTCTAACCTTCTGAATTCCTCATAATCTCTACCTTTCTCCTTCTAAATTTATCTTACTGAATTATACTTTTCGAATCATATCTTCGCTCCCTAATCTTCTCCATTACTGTTAATACTTCTATTATTGCTATCACTGTTGGATTTGAACTGACAGTTGCATCTCTGTGCTGATGTGGTATGGCAACCTGAACTGATGTACTTACGTACGAAGTTCTGTGTCATCACCTCTATCTTTCTCTTTTTAAATTTATTTCACAGAATTTTACTTCTTTTTGATCGCCGCTAATACTAGTAGTACTATATCTACTACTATGGGATTTAAATTAACAATTACGTCTGCATGCTAATGTGATATGGCTGGCTACTTGAACTGATGTACTTACATACATACACGTACATACAAAGTTCTACATTGTAGCAGTAAGAAATAACAATAGTTTCCATTTCATGACACTGCACACACATACACTTGCTTATGAATAGAAATTTTCTCTCTCTGTCTATTATTTAATTTTCATTCATTCTTTTGTTTCATTTAGAACGTATTGTCACAGAACGTACAATGTATGAAACATTACGCAAAGAAATGGATACAATGATTAATGAATTTCATTCAATTTGAATTCGCATTCAATATGCCTATTGTCTGTCGGGTCTCTCACTGTCTCCGGTTGTCTATCTGCATGACATTATAATATAATATCATTTAATTTGACTGACCTAAAACTGCATGTTACTTACTTTGTATGCTACTAAACTGACTGCCTACACATTGGGATTGGTTTTGCGTTTAATTGGATTACATTTTGCATGTACTACTAGTAGTAGTGGTAGTAGTAGTAGTAATAATAATAGTTACTTATATCTAGTTTAGTAGTGTATTGTTACTTTTTGACATTTTTTTTGGTTTTGTTTTTTGTCTCTCTCTACTCTAAAATTATTTATTGTTAATGCGCAAAAAAAACAAAATTTTTGTAATAGTGCATGCATTTTGTTGCTTTATTCAATATTTATTCATCATCATGGTGTTTGTTTATATAATTGAATGTTAAAAAATAAATTGATGTGTTTTTTTCTTTTCTAATTGGGAGTTTCTGTTTATTGAATCAATACAATCTATTGTCAATATCATACTATCAATCATCAGTTAGTACGTACGTACATCAGTTCACAAGTTGTCATACTGTAGTGTGTGTGCTACTTATGCGAACGATATAAGTAGTATAAGAAGGGACGTGAAAGAAGAAGTCTCATGGTCAGAAGAGGAAAACGGAAAGCAATTGGAGCAAAAGCAAGAAGTAAATGGAGTAGTATCAACAGGAAGGAAAGGAAGCAACAACAGGAATGGAAGAAGGATGGAGTGTTGGAAGTCACAACTCAAAGATGGTGTGCAAATATAGTGTTCAATGTAATGTTTTCGTTTTTAATTGACTAAGAGTGTAATTTTGCTAAATACAATCTACCGCGCCTGCCTCAGTCTTCTCATCGATATTCGGCAGAGCACGGCGCAACAATCTGATGAGCTCTTCAGCAAGCACCAGCGGGTCACCGACAGCCTCGCCGACCGGAACTCCTGCTGCGCCTTCTCCCTGTCCACTGGACTGTCGAACTCCGCCATCAGACACCCGGTGACTGTCTTCCAGGCTGTCGTACACCGCCTTTGCCTCACCTCCCCGCAGCGGCCCCAAACCCCTCCAGGAAGCTCCGCAAATCTCCGTCCTCCAACTGCTTCGGCCGCGAGAGCTCCTTTCTTCGAGCAGGCAGCGACACCAAATGTGAAGACTGAGGCAGATAGATTGTGTTTAGCAAATTTACACGCTTATTCAATTAAAAACGAAAGCATTACATTGAACACTCTATTTGCACTCCATCTTTGAGTCCTGATTTCCAACGCTCCAGCCTTCTTCCATTCCTGCTGTTGGTACTCCATTTACTTCTTGCTTTTGCTCCAATTGCTTTCCGTTTTCCTCTTGTGACCGTCTCCCACTTCTTCTTTCACATCCCTTCTCATACTACTTATATCGTTCGTATAAGTAGCACACACCACAGTAGCACACCAAGATCGAATTGTTAGTTCAAATCTGATAGTAGTAGAGTTAGTGGAAGTATTTAACGGTAATACAGAAGATTAAGGATTGAAGTATATAATCTAGTGAAATAAATTTGAGAAAAGAAAAAGATAAAGGTGATGAAGAATTCAGAAGATTAGAAGTTAAGCGAACACAAACTATGGATGTAACTGTGTCGTTCTCAACGATTTTATGCTATTTTTTTTATTCAAAATCTCTAACCATCGATTATAATCATCTCCAAGGACTGCAACCAGGTAGTCTGCATCTACCAACATAGCTCAGTTCAGTTGTCAATGGATTCATAGATTTGTGCCATTTTTCTGGTTTGACAAACAGAAAAATAAAGGTGATGAAGAATTTAGAAGATTAGAATTTGAGAGAAGATTTTGGGCCATCTCATTCAAGATCTCTGAATAATATTACCATGGATCTTAACTATTTTTTGCATTAGCCATTTCGATCATTTTAATAGGCGCATTCAACCACTGCATATCGTCATCAAACTCCTCCACTTGTTTCGCTTTTAACAGCCAAACAGTATCATCAACCTATACATAGATGATTCACTTCAACTCAAAGCCGATCGCATAAGTCTGTACTTGATAAATAAGTCATGTTGTAGTGAACGAGAACACAGGTGGGGCAACCGAATTGTATTTAACGAAAGTTGCAGAGTTACTCAGTAAAATTGGAAAACCATATCGTAAATCCTTCATTCGCACAATAACAGTTCATCATATCGAATTGGACTGTTCCTGTTGCCAAACATCAATCCATTGTCACTATTCATGCGTTTCATACAAATTCCATTGTGTTCCAACTCTTCCTTTCTTGATCTCTCCTCATCTTCTGCTGCCAGACATTACGTTGACCCTCACATCATATACTACTTATAAGTAGCTCACACCACAATGTCACGAGATATTAGTCACGTTTATCTGTATATATTAATTAGATGAAACAAATGCAATGTTGACTTCGTCGTGAAGTACGCTTAAGAAAGAAATCTGTCCCAATATCATGAATTTAAAAAAACTTATTTAAAAATCTTTTTTTTTCCCTCAAATTTAGATGATTTATTGGCTGAGAAAGAACGATACAAAGCTCTTAGCAGTGAATTGGATCAAACATTTGCAGAACTTACGGGTTATTAATCAGGGGATATTCACATTTACTATGATTATTATGAGTATTATTATTGTTTTCAGAGAACACAATCGATCGATTGTTGTTAACTTGTTTTAAAACACTAAAACCCAAATTTTCAAAAAAAATGTACTCTAGAGAGTACACTCACTCACTATATGTTATATGTTATATTCATATTTGACACTATTTCATTTCTGCAAAATATGCTTTTATTATTTGTTACTATCTTCTATATTACAACATTTCTAACCGCTGCCATCACCGCCACCCAACCCCCCGCCCTCCTCCTCCACTTATCACACGTTTTTGCAGTTTTCAATTTAAACAAAAATTTTAGGCGTTTATATCTTCTATAGTAGCCTATCTCTCGCTCTCTAATCATTCAGTTGATGAAGAAATCAAATACAAATGTTTTCCCATATGAGTGTATACTTTTGTTATTGTTATAATGCATTTAAGATAAAAGAAACATCACATCATGGAGTTGTGGAGATAGTTAAGTTACTCAAGATCGAAAGTCCTGGGTTAGAATCCTATGAGGTGAAGGAGTCGTGGATGTACGTTGCTGACGGAACGGGGTTTAAGGAGACCAGGAACGACGTCTCGTGAACTCGCATCGTTTGCATTAGCTGTGCACTGAGATAAATGAATGTGAGAAGAGTTAGTAGTGCAGATAAGAGAGGTATTAGGGGGTGTAGCAAGGATTTGATTTTGACCAATTTGGTCTTGTGTGCTGTTACGGGTATGAGGGCAGTTATCACTTCCCGGCTGTCCACACCGTGGAAGGGTGTTTCTTGAGGGACCTGAAAAGGAAGATGGATTAGTGTTGGTGCGTGACCGCAGAGCCCAATGGACAACTGCTTGAGGCCGGTCATGCACGGCCTTTTGATGAAAGTTTTTTCGAGGATTAGCTCCGCTCTTTTAAAGCCCTTATTGAGCACCCTTACCCAAGGAGATGGAAATCCGTGAGGTAGGGTGAGGTGTGACATTTTTAGGGTCGACCTTTTCTAACCCTTCCTTCCGTTGAGAGAAGGCAGCATCGCTGCAGATGCTGGTTGTCTGAGGGAAACACGTTACTGCTGTCACACCACTCTTCAGTCAGTCAGCAGTACGACTTCGCCCTCAGACCTTGAGTAGCTGCTTTTAGTCTGATCGTTCTCCAATCGACCAGCGTGGCATGGTAGAACCTTCAGGAACATGTGTTCCAGCCAATATGGGTGGGTTGGGTCATCACGATAGTCAAGCCCGACCACCACGTCAAGGTAGTAGCTTCGGTTGGGGCTGACGGATCCCAATCCAGGACAAAACGGTCGTCCAGTGCTTCCAGTTTTCTAACGCTGGTCTAACATTGATCGATTCATGATTTCAACGAACATAAATATTAGCCATTTGATTGTAAGTAGTTCGATTTGATGATATGTATTTCTGAAACCTTAAAATACCTGTAGTGAGCAAGTCAAGATACCAGATTGACTATGATCAACACCAAATGTTCCGTACGGTCCCGTCTTTCATATCAAAACAAATCCATGGTTGAGTATTTTATTGAAGGAGAACTTTGGCATTACATTGGGAGTAGGGCATTTAAAAAATAGCAGCAACGCGAAGAGAACATTGCGCGCAAGAAGTGTTTTTGGTACAGTTAAACAAAACGAGTACAATAACGTTAATTTTTAACAAATCGTATTTTCTTCGTAGAAGCATTCCACTGCAGCAGCCCCCGCCTAGAAAGGGTTTACACTTTCGAAACAGCGGCTGCGTTCGGGGAGGGGCTGGTCGGCCAATATTTGATTATAGTGCTGAAGGGTTGACGAACAGGAAGCCACCAAGAACCTCGAGTTGTCACCGATAGTCTTCTGAGTTGAACTATACCAGTAGTAACGTGCCAGGTTTGCTGCTCGGGTTGACGTGCCAAGTTTGTATATCGGAGTGGCATGCCACACTAGCGTTGCTCGTATCCAGAGTCTGAAGATTGCGTTCGTAGGGATTCTGACCAGATAAAGCTGCAGACGTAGGACGGAACCAGATTGAGCGAAGGAGCCAGAAACGACCAGTACGAAACCATTCGTATACCAGATATATTTGTAACCAGAAAATCGACTGAGAGCATTGACAAGAGCGTGGGTGGTCACCCGACCGTAGCTGCTACCTTGACGTGGTGATCCGATTTGACTATCGTGATGATCCAACCCATCCATATTGGCTGGAACACATGTTCCTGAAGGTCCTACCATGCCAGGCAGGTCCATTGGAAAACGATGAGACTAAAAGCAGCTACTCAAGGTCTGAGGGCGAAGTCGTACTGCTGACTACTGCAGAGGGGTGTGACAGCAGTAAGGTGTTTCCCTCAGACAACCAGCATCTGCAGCGATGCTGTCTTCTCACAACAAAGGAAGGGTCAGAAAAGTTCACACCTCACCCGACCTCATGGATGTCCGTCTCCTTGGGTAAGGATGCCCACTAAGGGCCTTTAAGAGCGGACCTAATACTCAAAAAACCTTTCATAAAAAGGCCGTGCGTGACCGGCCTCAAGCAGTTGTCCCTTGGGCTCTTTTGCTATTATTGTATTGTGCTCTGTCATTGGAATTGCTTTATTCTTTTCTGCACCAACACGAATAATAACACTAACTTCCCATGTAGATTAAAAAATGCTTTCGCTGTAGTTCAATAACTAAGTGGGGTTACATTCGGTCGTGCTAAAGCTACGTTGTTCATGTGATTAATTGTAATACTCTTGTTGTTTTTAAAAACCAAAGTTGGCAAATCATGTGGGTTTGGGTCCTAAAACTCAAAGGCCTAAAATCTAATGTTTTAATTTCTAACTTCTGTTTAGCCTTGAGTAATTGTTTAATAATAATGTAATGCTTTTATTTTACTAGTCTTCGATCATCGGTGTCTCCGAAGCATTGCTCGTGTATCGTAGGACAACCGAGTATGAAATGCTGTCTTTAGGAAACGAGTTCTAGGTAGGGATGGCAAATCAATCGATGAGGTATTGAAACATCATCAGTTGGGGTGGTTGGGACATGTGTTATGAATGCCCAACAACCGACTGCCTCGACGAGCTATGTTTTGTGGTGTAGGAATAGGTTGGAAGAAAGTTAGGGGTGGCCAGACCGAAACATGGCAGAAATCCATGAAGTCACTGATAAGTGGACTGAGTCATGTTGGTAAATTAGACTACCTGGTTGGGTTCCGCGAGATGATAATAGTCGATGGTTAGCGGCCTTGAACGACGTAGCTCAGAATCGTTTAGAATGGTGCAGGTGCATCCACTCTTTGTGTTCTCTCGTGCGTAGAAACATCCTACTACATACCTATGAACTGTCGAGCTGTGCCACTGTCCCAGCGGTGATTTGTGTGCTATCTATCTTATGGTGTACGTATGTGTTGCCAACATAAGAAACCGCTGATGTTATTATCTACATAGAGAGGATGCAGAATCTAGGTTTAATTTTGGAATATTATTCCATAATAACCATGAGCAGAACAAAATTTTCTGAAATTTCAGATTTTATTCAAGAGTATTCTCTTCCTGTCAGTTGATTTGGCCTGCTGGCTGTATCAAAGTTCGCTCCTTCAACTTTTCATATCTAAATTTAACTGAAAAATGTTTCAAAAGAATCAATGCTGGAGTGATAAAGCTAGAGTTATGGTGACTATTTACCACAGGTTAAGGTCACAAACGGTAGGATCTTTAATTGCCGAACACGATACATGATATTCTGATTCTGTGTGAAAATGATTGCCAATTCTTTGTTTCGATTTGTTGTTGGTCAACGAAATCTAAGTAAGCAGTTCGATCATAATCTGTGATAAAATGTCCATCATTTCACAAGCTCTCGGAAATTGTTCAACAAGACTAACTTTTGGCACAACTGAAATTTTTCAGATTTCCTGTCACACTCGTTAATGATGTGCTCGTCAACCTAAGAAAGTCACGATTTTGAACGATGAAGTGAAGTGGAGTGAACTTGCTCTGAAGGAGAAATTTGTCCTGTTATTGTAAACGCGCTAAGTCTTAATGGTGTTTTCAACTCTGACACTCATGTATGCTTGGTGGTTTACACGTTAAACTTGATGCATTAACCAAGTCAACTTCAATAGTTAGCCAAGGTGTGTCACTCTTTATGCTTCTCAAGTGAAATAAATCTTTTGTTTAATATTTAGCCTTAAAAAGTAAGTTTAATTACACGGATTATATTATGCCCATGCTTAACAAGCTGAAAGTATTATATCAATATGATTTGCACTTATCAAACTTTTGCTGTGTTCTTACGCGAATATTCATCCGAAATAGTCAGTTATCGTTAGAACCAATTACAAAGTGTGACTGTTTCTAAACCTTTAACAGGCTCACATACAGATGCACTTGATAGCAACACACTAATTGTAAATCTGCCCGCAGTAAACAATCAGATGATGTAGACTAGATTATTCACCCAAAAATATACATTGATTACCTGAGTCAACACATACTGAGCACTCAATAACCACTCGCAACAAGTCTATAAGAAACCCTATCAACCATAATAGCTTTGAAGTAAATTACAATACTTTCATCAGTGATAATTCTAGGACTGGTCAAACTGGATTCAAACTTATCCAAACCATCCACAATTTGCTACCGAACAGTACTTGATCAGAGTTCCAGAAATATCTGGTCCCGAAATTATAAAAGTGAGGCTGAAACAATAATTGACTATATATCCTCGAAAATGATAAATAGACTTGATGGTATGCAAAGTTCCATTTCGCTTAACATACCTGACAGTGCAAGCCTAAATTCTGTGAAAAGCCCTACTGTGGATATGTACCAAGAACATTACGTAAAGCCTAGACATAAGTCCCCTGTCCCAATCTTCTTCAATTTAGAGGTCTCAAGGAAGTTAATCACTTTAATAATAGTCAGTCATTACTCAAGCATATTCCGATTTCTAAGAGGGTTCAGTTCAACTTCGAATCACTAAAAAACTACAGAGCGAGCAGCCTGATCTATGCACTCTCATGGGCTGCAGTCATCAACCCTATAATACCTTAGCCTACTCCTCCCAAAACGGAAAATAGATGCAGTACGACCACTAGTATAAAGATCAGTTCTGTAATTAAAAGAGTTGCAACAGGCCGTCCAGAGTTCAACCGTTAAACCACTCCGAAATCACAAATCATTTGCTTCCTGTAAAACCTCCGAATTACTTTACCGATACAAGTAAAAACGTAACGACCCAGTGTAGCAGAAATTTTCTTGGAAACTTTGCTACACAAGGTCCAACCAATATAGTGTAGATCACTATTGATCACTGCTGCTCGAGATGTTAGGAATAAACCCTAGCAATCTCAACAATCAGGTCACACAACATAAACAACTTCTTTCACAACAACATAAGATATTTTTATATTCTTATCCTAAAACGTGCCAT